GAGAGAGAGAGAGACCTGAAGAACACTGATATCCAAGTTGACAAGATCAGGGCAACCTCTTGCAATTGCTGTCAATCCAGTGTCGGTAATTAGGTGGCATCCACTAACATTCAGATGTTTGAGGGAACAACCTTGGGCAACAGCAACAAGTGCCGCATCACCAACCCTACGGATTAAGAAAAACAAAATTAAATTGATCACAACAACGATATCGTTCGTGAATGGTGATGCAATCCTCAAGTATTTATACTCATATAAAAGCTTGAAAGAATCAGTAAACCAAATAAATCTGAAAAACAGAATAAAAACAGTTGCTAAATTAGTAAATTAATATTAGCATTAGAGTTTCAACTTTGACTTGTGGAGGAAACCAAAAGAAAAGATAAGCACAAGAAAAAAAAAGTTCATGGAATAAGATGAAGCAGAAAGGAATCTAAAAGGAAGTTAACATGTAGGTTAAAGAGCGAAAAAGATATTTGCTTTCCTTCTGTGACTGATAATGTTAACTTTCCTCCTTCCTGAAAGTAGAGCCACTCCTGTTATATGTATAACCTAAAAAGAAAACAACTCCTTTTTCTCTCTGGAGTGCCCCTCCTATATGCATGAAAAAAAAATGGAGTGCTCTCATGCTCCTGGAACTAATTAGTCCGCTGGGATAGGAAACATCAACTAATATAAATGATTGAAAAGAAAAGGTTTCACATATGTATCAACTGCCTATGGTACAAGTGTTGTCATAAGGTTTAAATCATAAAATTCTTACCTGTCACAGAACCGGAGGCTCAAGTCAGCAAGTAATTTGCAGTTCTCACCCACAGAGATAATACCTTTATCTCCAACCTGGTAACAGAAAGGATTGAAAAAAATCAGATAATTCAAGCGGTATATAGGAAATCCAAGGCACATGTGGTAAAATCTGACATGAATACTCATTGTCTGAAGATTTTGATAATAGATTCTGAACAGCCTAGATATGTGTTGTTACAATGCAAGAACAACCAGAAAGAAGGGTAGAAACTAACCCAGTAAATAAAACATTTACCAATTTATCATTAATTTTCTGATACCAAGCTTGCCCACCATGCTTAGCACAAATGAAGCACTAACTAATTCAAGCACTTGCAGTAAGTCCAAAAGCCATGTGACCAGAAGCTAGTATGAATAAAAACCATCTGGATGACGTTTTCATCATAAATTCTGAACAACTAGAGGTCTTATTGAATGCAGGAACAGACTAAAGCAACAGTAGGACATAACCTGGAATATATTACTTTGCCAATTTATCCATTGCACTTACTCCATTTTAGCACAAATGATTAATACATATCACTATTAAGAGAAATTATACTTCAGGAGTAATCAGGACAAATATGATTAACTTGATTTCAGGTTAAAATATTTGCCGAATTGGGACATAAAATTTAAACTATCAAATAAGTAATGCAAAAATCAAAACTTGAGAATAATATATCACTAATTATACCTCATAACAACGACGGACATGCAGTTTCCTTAAGCTTCTGCAACCTTGAGCTATAGCACTTATTCCATCATCATTAATGCTTGAACAATCCACCAGGTGAAGAGCTTTCAGAAGTGAGCAGCCTTTGCCAACTTCACGAAGAGCACTATTACCCATTCTTGGGCAATACAACAAAGACAGCTCCACGAGGCCTCTGTATCATTAGCATGGTACAAGTTGAAAGCAAAGGAATATAAATACAATAATTTTAGTTATATATTCTAAATATAATGATTGGCAAAGCAATGTATGCAAGTAATGTTTAGACTTGAGATAACCACTCCATATTTATGCCTGCTTTTTGCACATCTCATAATTTTTGACATATTGCCAAAGAAATAGGTTTCAACAGCTTAAGTTTTAGACAGCTTGAAACACAACATAAATGCCAAAGAAATAGGTTTCAATAGAATATTTTGCAATACCACAATATGATCATTCAAAGTATTTCAGAATTTAGATATAAGAATTGAAGAAGGTCACAAAATACCTAAGATCAATTTTGTTTTTAATTAAGAGTTAGCCATGCTCTAAATCTGACTTTAAGTAAGCAGTTTTACTGGATGTCCCCAATTCTATCACACACGGAAAACACCTTTTAATGTTCAAGCTACAGAAGAGGTAACTCCAGTACCAGTAATAAATGTACATAACTAAACTAAGATCAGCTTGGTTCTGCTCTTTTTATTTTCCCTAAAACATCACTGTGAGGACATGTTGAAATCACATCGAGTTCAGATCGTCATTCTGTATGGGTCGTTCTTCCACAGAAGCATCCTAGAAACAGTTTGCTCTACAAAAAACTGTTTGTCGATGGGAAATGTTTATCTCAATGGAAGAGACATTAGTGATTCAGAAAAGATGATAGAACTCATCAATGATGCACATCATCAGCATATTATGACCTGAATGAGTAGGCATATGAATGAAGAATATCATGAGATTTAACATGCACATATCAACCAGATGAATCAGATCTGAGTCACATGCACAATTGTTTCAACCATTCACAACTGCACGTGGTACTTCACATCTCAGCAACAAGAAAATAACCAAAATTAACTATTAGCCCCACTTTTAATACAAATCTACACATGATCTCCTAACAAATTATGATATTAAATTTAAAAGAAAAAACATGCATAAGCATGTGAACCTTAAGAAGGGCTTTGAAAAACGACCAAAATCCTCACATTAAAATCATGCAACGGCTTTTCTCTTTCTTGTTTCCCCAACTGATAATCATTGATTTATGTCAGCATATGTTAACAGCATGAAGTACATACCTATCACTAGGGTTTGTCATGCCACGATGTACCGCCCGGTATGAGCAGCACAATACTGATCCGAAAGGGGATTAATACGCAGACCACCCTGTACCGAGTGGTCTATGTTAAACGGTCATGTATCACTCGATACAGGAGCTATACCAGTCGATAATGGTCGGATTTCGATCGATATTAATCAAGGGACATGATTAATTTGATTCAAACGATCAATGACCGATACCAATCAATTGATTTGATTTTATTCAAAAGGCTACAATTGATTTGATACCAATCAAGGCCCACAATCATATTTGTCTCAGGAGGCGCCTCGAACACATGTGGTTCATGACAATTGGACTACAACCATCACCACATTGATGCACCAATGTCATACACTGTATCAGTATACTGTATTATGCGATCAATTTTAGGATTGAGTTCAACAAACATATCAAATTGATATACAGATACATATAATCGAGGACTCCGATCCATTGCCCATGGAGTCACATCGTTCTTTTTGGTGGTAGAACCCAATATATCCATCGATCGATTACTTAATTCATTTGAATCTTAAATTTAAATTATTTAAACCATAATCTAATAATTCAAATCATTTCTATGAAGATATTCAATATCAATGAAAGGACAATCCGAAACATACCATAAAGCTACTCGTTAAAGCTTGAAAAATATATGTGCCACTATTCTTTCCTAATTTAGATTATTTTTACTAATATTAAACTAAATTTATATTTATTTCTAACTTCAAAATCATAATCTAACTTTTTTTATTTTTCAAGAATTTTCGAAGCTTTTTTTTGTCATTTTTCTGTGCTATCGGCACACCAGCTCAGATCAATAAGGCGAACCTACCTATCACTTAAAGACAATTGAATTTCGAATCAAGAACATACTACCTAACAAAATCCTTATAGAAATACGCCACATGTCTATGAAAAAACACTTCAAAACATCACATTCAGTTGGCACCTAAGGTCAAATTTTGTTTCTCTTTTTGATCAGCTTATTAATACTTTGTTTTGCTTGGTGCAAGAAACAGATGTGAATCTTTACATGATAGGTCTATGATTACCAAATGAAATATAAACCATAATTCCCAATCAAAATGGGGTATGTATACATAAATATGCATATATGTATGTATATACATACATATATGTATATGCATATACATATACATATATATATACATATACATATACATATACATATATATATACATATACATATATATGATCAGATACTGTGATTATGAATACTTAATATTACAGAATAAACTTCAACAATAATACAATATCTAATAGCATCACCTAAGTACTTCAAAGAGAATTGTAAAGACCTGGAGATAATGCAGTACAACAAGATGGAAGGACATACAGGCATAATCGTCCAATATATTCTAGTCCAGATGTTCCAATGTTGTGGCACCCATTAATTTCCAGATTTGTCAATTTGGTGCAGCCGCGAGCAATAGCTTCAAGACTTTGATCGCTTAAGAGATAACAGTCACTGAGAGTCAGATCTCTTAGCTTTTTGCACCCATTCCCAATAGCATAAAGGCTCCTACATGATTTTGACAAAAAAAACACATGCACACGCATGATGCAGACAATTCAGCTGTGATATATGAATATTGCATTTTGCATATCATGACAATGGCCTTGATACATCACGTAGCAAAAATAATAACTTGATTAAACTATAGTCAATAACCCCTATCTACCTTTCCTCTATGTGCTCTTTTACTGGGATAAGAAGCAGGTAGGATATATGAAAGGCATCATATAACCAATAAAAGGTTCTCAACCTTAGCACCACATTTGAGCACATACATCAGAAATTAAATTAGGAGATAATGTTATGGTGGAAAGTGTCATCCGTCATTTAAAGGATATCCAATCCCTTGAGACTTCTTATGCAGTGATAATCTTTCATCTATGTATGTGCTTTTGATTTCACTACATAGACGTCCTTTACTATAAAGTAGATAGAACAGGTAGAACACCAAATTCTAATGTTATTTATCCATATAAAAAAAATTAACACGTTGTGTAAGTGTAGCTATGCTATATCATATATTATAAATTGGTTATTTATGAAAAAACCATCAAAATTGCTTGTATGGAGCTTCAGAAATTGAAAGTGGTAAAACAATTTAGGCAGTTATATCGTCAAAGAAAGAGAAAGCAGCAAATTTGTAACAGGGAGGCTATGTCCTCAAGAGAATGCATAAGCAAGAATCCATTATGCAGATGAGATTGGCAATCATCTGCAGAAGCATCTGCTTGTTCGAAAGGTTTTATCCTAAAAGTTCATAGAAGCAAATCAAACTAGTAACATTATTTAGTTCCTTATATTGTCTTAGAAGCCAATTTGAAGCAGCAAATAGTCCCAGTTGTCCATTGTTCAAACTTTTATGGTATACTAGGATGGACTAGGTGGGGAGATGGGGAAGTAGAGATAATTGCCTGTCAGTAAATCTCTGGAAGCTGTACAAAGCCAATTGTTCCAGTAAAGAACAATACGAACCCACAGCTTGTAGAGATTCATCTGAAATATTAACACACTGCAGTTTCAAAGCCTTCAAGGATCGACAACCTTGAGCTACTGAAATTACTCCTGTATTTCTCATCAACTCCGAGTCCAGCGATAAGTTCTCCAGAAACTTGCAGTGAGATGCAACAGCTTGCAAGGAAACATCAGAAATCCAAGCACATGCTGCAATGCCAAGAGATTTCAGTGAACTGCCATGGCTTTGCGCAAATCCAACCAAACCTGTATCCGTCAAGCCTTCGCAAAAGCGAAGATTCAAATCTTCAAGTTGCTTACAATTCTGACCAAGTGCAATAAGACCTTTATCTCCAACATAGCAACCCTAATCATAAAATTAATCTAAGCTTGTTAAGTCAAATACTTTCAACATAAACAATAAATATACCAATCTAATAAAATAATAATGTAAACAAACAAAAGAACAAATTCCAATGAAGAAATCTTATCCATTTTTGTACTCATCATGAGATCATGTATATAGAAGCTATTGCATCTTCTGCACAAAGACTACATAATATGTCTAGAAGGTATGACATCAGATGCTGCCTAAAGCTATCTGTGAAGCACGATAACTAAAATATGTAAATGCAAAAAGAACAATATACTCAGAACTATGCAGTGATTGATGCTCGTTGCATTTGTCAACAAAGAGTTAAAACCAAATCTCTTTTCTCTTTCAATAAAAAGTTTCAATGCATAGTCAGACTATTCTCCTAATAACCTATAGGACAATAATCAATTAGCAAACATCTGGTTAGTTAACAATTGCTATCATGAATCAAACATCTTTTATATAATTCTACAAGATATTTAAAGGTTAAGGTCATAACATTTTGCTTTACTAAAATTCACTCACAAGATGGCAAGTCCACCAACCATAGCAAAGTGATAATACAAAAATATATGACATCATCTGTAAATAGTGTGACAAGCTTTTTGTTGTACAGTTCAAAATATTAACCTAAACATGATCCTAGATAAACTTTGCTTAAAGTAAATTGAGATCCAAACAACCACAGAAGCCATAATCATTACAACTGCTTTCATAACATCACAAAGCTTTGATATAGTTTATCATCTGATGCTTTCCATGTTGAGCAAGAACTGTGTGTGTGTATATATATATATCTCAAAGATTTAAAGCATTATGACTTAAGTTATAAGTTTCATAGTCGGCAAGACAAAACTGCACCTGCAGGTCCACAGATTTTAGAAATTTGCAGTTCTCCGCAACTGTTGTCAATCCCAAAGATGTGATGCTGGAGCACCAAATAAAACTTAGCTTCTCAAGTCCTTTGCAACTCTTGGCAAGCAATGCAAGACCAGCATCAGATAAACAAAACCGCTCCAGCTCATTTTCCACATATATTTCCTCAGTTGCATGGTTAGGTTTTGGGAGGGTATGTCTCTTCCTCTGCATTATTAATGCCAACAATAAATATCAGCAGTCTGAACCAAGAAGTAGCAACAGTGTAGATATGCAAACTTTCATGCTCAGTTCAAACAGCCTAGTGTATGTATGGGCACCAATTTGAACAGTTTTATAATATTCTAGATTTAACTTATATCTAGTCTGATTATACATACTTAACAGTTTCAGAAAAATTTCTTCTTACTTTGTCTTAACTTGGGTAATTGATTTAGTCTCAAGGAATTTTAGATAAGGAAAGTAATATCCCAGACCCTCCAGCCCATTTGTTGTTGTTAGTTCTTTCTAACACGCATGCATATGCATACACGCACACACACACACACACACCAAAAAGCAAAATAACAAGAACTTTGTTCGCTTGTCCTAGCTGAATATTCTTTCTAATACTCTCAGTGACAATGAAAAAAACAAAATTATTTTGTCCTTGCTGTTTGTTCTTTCTAATACTCTCAGTTACTACTTAAGGTTCATAATTTGTCTCGCAAATAATAATAAGAGAAAGAAATAGATTTTCATAAATGTTTTTTCTTAACCATTCACCAGCAGAGTCTCAGATGGCAAATACAGAAGATTTATTCTATCTCATAACCTAAATTTTACACACACATGCAAATGTACGTCATTTAATCATGCTATAAATGATTAGTTTAAAAAATATAAACATTCAGCATTCAAAATGACATAGATTTCGCATATCATATTGCCAAGACTAGAAAATCTGCAGCGATCAATTGCTATGGAAGAATGAGCCTCCTCTCGACGCCTCAAGAAACAAATTTCTTCACAACAATTAAACAAAATGTCACACTCGACAACAATGGGAAGGAGAGGACCATGGTGGCTAAAGGGCGGCTCGTCCATGGTATCGTCTAGAATGTTATATACAAACCAGGATCAGATCTTAATATCAAAATCTAAGATATATAAGCTTGATATCAATTACCTTGGAAGGCGGTGATCTTTGCGGCTGGACCGTAGTCACCGGGAGGCGCTCATCTATATAAACGTTCCGGAGCCCCGTGAACCGGCGGACGACGAGATCCACGAGTTGATCGGCAGTCCCGGACGCTCCGATCCTTATCGTGCGGCGGCAGGCCCGCTCGAGCCTGCGCCACTTCCGGCAGACCAGGGAGCAAGCGTCCCGGTCCGATTTGGCCTCGACGTGACGAAAGATCTCCATGATGAGCTCGTCGGGTAGGAATGTGTTAACGAGATCGCAGCCCTTCATCACGGAGGTGAGTTTGGGATCGAATTCGGTCACCGGTAATGGAGAATTGGGGGAACGCAGACAACCCTAGGCGAAGACTGGACGCAACGCTTCCTGCCGAGCGACCGAATTGGGAAGGGGGGAGACGGCAGGTAGCCTTTATACTATATAGGAGGCATTTGTTTCCCGGAATTTTTGGACACTGATCCCTGACAAGAAAAATACACATTGGCGTATACGTACACGCGACGAAATATTTATGCTCCAAAATAGAATATTAAACGCTCTCAAAAAAGAAAAAATATATAAAAAGTAGCACTTAATAAGAAATAGTATATTTAAATGTTTAATTGATGTATCAAATAAGTACATTGGAATTTTAGGTCCTTTAAGTTTAATTTAGACATTGCACCAATCTTGATGTTACTATCCCGAATGAATCACTGATGGATGAATGATCAGCTTATTATCGTACGACGTGATATTACAAGTTGTAGTATTAATATACTAATGTAATGGGTGTGGGATCAAAAGCTTAAAGAGAATTATGTAGATGATTTCCACTTTCAAATTCAATAATTGACATTGAGTGACCACGTTTCCGTTTAGACCTTCGTGTTATATAATATATTATTATATAAATAATAAATTTTGATATGAGCGTCATCTATATTATTTGATATATATATATATATATATATATATATATATATATATATATATATACATATATATATATATATACACATATATATATGGCGTATGTAACATCTGTATTGATCTTATGTATTGTATGTGTGATGTCAACATGGATCTGAATTTTCTATTATCCCATATTTTTTCACCGATTTGATAATTTCAATCCAACAAAGAAATTATCCTAATTTTTAATTCAGCTGACATTATTTGTCCTTTTGGTGATTTAAGAGTAATATAAAAATGTCTGAAAATTAATATTTTCTAAAATAAAAATTGAAACAAAACAATACCTTGAAGTGTTTCTTAAATGGATGACGTTGTAGCGTTTCTGAAACGAAGAAATCAAAACACTTACAGCACCGCGAACCGGACCCGATCCGGCGGTTGGTGAAGCGGGTGCGTCCGGAAGAGGCGGAAGGTAGCGCCGACGACATGGATGCGGCTACCAGCTTGCTATGTTTGAACTCGGCTTCTTCGGCCTTGGAGCCCGGCCACTGCTTGATCAATTCCTCAGCTAGGGCCCTCTGACTCCCTCCTCTTCTCTGCTCGGCTCATTCAATTTGAATCTGTTCGTCATTGCTCACCAGATGTTTGAAGAAAAGACGCAACAAGCCTTACACCTGGTTGGTGTCTGGTTTCAAGCAACTGAAGCTGAGTGCTGTGGGTTTATTCAGGATACTGAAGTTGCTGGGAGTGGACTTCTATAGAATCAGGCAAAGGGAGCTCTGATTTCATATCTGCGGTCATTGTCAGGTACCTTCTTCGTGTATGTTCAAAACTGAGGTGAAATGAAGTTGATTGTCTTAATTTTCAGTCATATAAGTTTTAGTTTTCGGTAGATGAAACCAACAATAAAATTCTCAGGCCCCTCACAATGTCCAAAATGCTTAAGGTAACAGTAGTACACCCATCAAGCCTTTGTAATCCAATTCAATTATTCTCCTACGTCTGATACAAGGGGTATTACAGATGCAGCACCCAGTGAGCTGCTTATAGATATTATGAACCACAATGCAAGCGAAGAAGGATGCCCTACTCTAAAAACACCACAACCAGAACAACTAGCAAAAACTTACCATTCAGCCATTTAAAAGTGAATGTCAACTGCAATATCAGTGACTTATGCACTTCAAATTACCTAGACGCAAAATTGATCCTCGTGCTAATATTCCTATGATAAAAGGGAGGCCTCTATAACTTTTTATGATACCAACAGGGTCACAGTGTCATCATAATGGTGTAACTATGACTTCAATATGCAGTCCCAAGTTGAAACATTTTCTTTTAAGATTACGAAGAATTATGCACAGATAATATCCACTGTAGCGAAAACAAAATGCAGCCCAAGAACTTTTGAGGACTTTTTTCAATTAATCATACATTTTAATATATGTACAACATCATTGGCCTCATTTATCAATGAATAAATACAACTCTTATGAAAAAGAATGTGATTATTCAAATGTGAACATTCTTGCTTATTCAGCTTGTATTCAGCAACTCTAATGCAATGTCCACAAGGGCGCAAAGTGGTGTGTTGTGCCGGCTCAGTCCCACACTGCCAGAAAATACATCGAAGCATTCGAGCTCTGATGTGGTTTCTGAGACACATTCAAGCTCCTTCTCCATACCTAGTTCAGTGAAGAATCTGATATATTTTCTATCAGAGTTCATCATCCAGATTGTGATTTCTAGTACAAATCTCCTTATTCTGGGCACCTTGGGACATGGGTAGTTATACTTGTGAAGTATTTTCACCAGTCTCTCTGCAAAATCCACATCCTTAATGCTGTGTTGTTCTAGTTTCTTGGCATATTCTTGAGCATCCATGAATCTGTAAACTTGTATGCCAAGACCAAGAGATACCTCCAGCTGTTTCATCTCTGCTGTCATGATTGCATTCAGAACCTATAGGAACGCAGCAAGGGTGTCAAGCATTTGCTTGTTTCACAAGTTAAACCTCACTAGGAAACTAATATCAATCACCATGTATTAGTCTAATTCTAAGCATAGAACTAAGAAGCAAAAACAACAAAAACAAAAGTGGAAAATAGATGAAACATGAGCATGTTAGAACTTATATAGTTACTTTGATAAGAATATATATGATAATGTCTAGCATTAGCTGATCTTTTTGTTCCAGAACCTGTAACTTATAGTCAAACATAAGAAATGAAGATTGTCAAAAACAGAACATATTCAACAATATTAAAGGATCAGACAGAAAAAAAGACATTATCTGACTAATAGAAAAGACATTACACAACTTTTTCCTTCCTTTCTTTAAGAACAGTTGCAGTGAAGTTTGGTTTTCAGGCAACAAGTGAACATAGAGAAACAGTAAAAACTTATTGTTTGACCAATGATTTTTCAGTTTGCAGGTAGAATAAATCTAAATAATTATGTATGCTCTAGTTAATATGAGTAATAAGTTAGTAAATTCTAACTTGATCCATCTTATATTTTCGATTTCGAAGTAAGATCATATATTTGCTACTTATTCAAAAATCATGACAGTCTTACCGTGCTAATGCCTGCAGTGACTCCTCTCAGACAGAAGAAGTGCTCATTGCCAACATACTTGCACAAGTTGCAAAGGATCCTCGCCGAATTTATCCAAAGCACCGGATCATCCAGTGCTTCAACGAGCTTTTCGACGATGTTCCTCTCTTTCAGAATCCTGTAACAGTTGTTCTTGCTCTCCAATGCCATCATCGCAAGCGCCTCCCCTGCTTCTACCTTCAATGCCTTCTGCTGCTGGGTGTATCCATCCTTGAAGAAGATCGACAGCAGCTCCTTAATCATCCCCCCTGTGTTGCCAATCCTCTCCCTTGCCTCCTCGTTCATTGCAAGGCTCGTTAGGATCTCAATTCCTAGCTTCTGAAGCATTATGTGGCTCGCCCCGTACTGCAAGATTTCCCTGATGTTGCTGCTAGTGAATACGATCTCCGATATCTCCTGCCGGAGCACCTTCCCGGTTTGCCCTGTCGTGCTTGCAAGCATCTTCACCACCTGCAGTGACCTCTTCATTGCCTTGACATGCGACTCAGTTGTGCTCTCTTTCATCTTCAGCTTCTCCCCGCCACTGGTGAAGTCTATGATCTTAGCTAGTAGTCCTCTGGTGTGGCCAATCTTTGCACAGTTGTCATGATCCTTGGTGAGCTTCTTCAGTATCAGCAGGCCTAACAGGTTGAACACCGAGAACTCGTGGTTGGTATTCTCCGCGGCGGCACACAGGCGGCATACCTCATCAGGTCTTGAATTCGAGCTGCTTCCACCTGTGTACAGCAATGAAGAGGTTGATTCCATGGCTCCAGGAATGCCGGCCACTCGGAGAGCATTCTGCTTCTTTCCGGCGAGCTTGGAGATGATGACCGCAGCTGACCTCCTGATCTCCTCCTCGGCTGGGTTCTTCCAATTCAGCATCTCGATGAGCCTCTCGATGACCGGAGTCGACGTGCCAATCTTGCGCAGGGTGGCGTCGGCAAAGCGGTGGCTGGTGGAGAATTTGAGCAGGATGCGGGCTCCGATAAGCTGCTCGTCGCGGGAACTCGACCCGAGGAGCTCCTCCGCGAAGGTGACGAGGTCCATTTTAAGCCCGTCGAAGATGCTCCCCTCGATGCACTTGGAGTAGGCGTCGTAGAAGAACCTCTTGATGGACACCATGCCGGTGGCGCCGAGGTGGCACTCCCTGTTCACCTCCTCAAGCAGCAGGCGGTAGCTCACCTTCCACTCCCAGTAGGCCTTCTCGGCCAGGAACAGGAGCGCCTCCGCGAGCGCCAGGCTGTAGAAGATGTTGAGCGCCGCCTTGCGGTTCTTCTTGTCGGGGTCGCCCGGAGGCAGCTCGCCGAAGTCCTGCTTCACCAGCCGCATGAGCGAGAGGGAGATGCATGAAGAGGCCGCGAGCAACTGCAGCCAGTAGAGCAGTCGGCTAACGTTCCGGGGGAGGAAAACCCATCCGGAGAACGGGAGGATGGGGACGTCACGGGTGTGCCATGTCCGTGGCGGCGGCGAAGGAGCGACTTGCGATCTCAGGTCGTTGATCATGTGGACGTTGCTCGGCATTCTCGTGGTGTGAACCGAGAATGGCCGGAAAACGAGCTTCAGTGATTGGAGGAGGACGCGGGAGCTGGACTTGAGAGCTCGGAAGCTCGACCGGCCGGCCTCGGTGAGGGACCAGGTGGCCTGGTGCTGCCACTCAAGCTCATGACTCCGGCTGAAGATGCGGGCGCCTTCAATGAGGAGGATGATGGTGATGAACCAGAAGTCTTTCCTCTCGAGCGCGATGGCGAAGCCTCCCAGGAGAACCACGGTGGCCCATATGAAGCCTAGCGTTCCGAGGCCACTGGCGGCCTTCTCGATGACAGCAAGCCGGAGCGCGAAGAGCGTCAGCTTCTTCTCGGGAGCTTCGACAACGCCATGGATTCTGCACGGCCCAGCTGAATCGTCGTCCTGGTCCACGCTCTTCGAAGGGTCATTCATCTCTCTCTGGGGTTCGAAGAACGTCGAGCCATAATTGTCCACAAGCTTGACGCTCACACTGCCAATTTGCTCGACGATCCGCAGTCGAAAACTTGGCTCGCCATCTCTTGCTGTCTCCATAGGACGATGAAGAAGAGCACACTACGATGCGATTGTGATGCTACGGCAGGAGCTGCAATCGAAGAACAATTGTCCAGATGAAAATTAGTAGGCTTTTATAGGAATGAGTCCGTCAGCATGCTTGGGGGAATGCTAAGGAGGGCGAAGGGCGGCCAACTTTGCGTGGAATGTGGCTGGAAATTGTGCAACTGTTTCTCCATAAGGCAAGGAGACAAATGAAAAGATTGTGTTGTAAGGATTCTTCGGTTTGGAAGGACGAGGAAACACCAACAAGTTCAAGGAAGATCGAGAGAGAACAGGGGAGGAGGAGGAGATGAACCGCTAAATGAACTTTGGGGGCAAGTTTTTTTGGCTTACACTGAAAGAGGAAGAGTGAAGCCTGTGGCATCTATTCTGCTTCCCTCACCCTCCAAACCTTTATTTGGAAACTTCACATTATTTTTGGATGATTGCGAATCCTTGCAAGTCCTGTTTAACTGTTTTCTTTGGATCTCCTCCTTATCAGACTCTCCTCAGCTTTATGTAATATTTAGCTTGGCAACTAAATTGGACAAGAAGTTTCTATTCCATGGATTTTATCTTTTTGTATGATAATTTATCCTGTCATTGGATTCCTTATTTGATCTTACTTCTGGGTTTATATATATATATATAAGAGATGAAATGTGTCTCAAGCATAGGATCAATGTCTCTTGACAAATAAATGTGGCTTGCTGTTTAATCTTTAGAGACATTCTCCTATGGCTTCACATACCTGTATGTGGAAGAATCGAAACATATGTTTGAGGGCAATGAATGATGAAGTCAATCATGGCCTAGCCATGAGATAACTGAAGAACTAATTCATCATGGGGAAGGAAGAATCCAATGACAAAGAAAGAGAACACCATCCCATCTGGATCGGATGTTTACTTGCTTGCATGCATGCTATGCTTCCAAGCAACCACCATCTTCATCTTCTGCCAACTGTCTGTGGTGTTAACAATGCATGCTGCCTTCGCTAGCATTCTCCATCTGCCTTGGAAAGGAGATTTCCAATCTGAACTGCAATGGGCACTTGAGATGGTATAGACAAATGGCCCTGCACTGGTGCTCTGTTACTTGGGTTAAGGTCTGAGGAAAACTCTGTTCCTTGCAGGATGAGCCATCTTTGGGGATGATGAGTTGTTAAAGAACCAGCAAGGGAAGCTTTAAAGAAATCAGTGGTCTTGTTTCTTTGGAGTGTGGCAATGCTCAACCTTTCAAGCTTGTGGTGCTAAATCTCCAGTGAAGTGACCTACTTAAGAAAGAAAGATAGAGAGAGAGAGATAGAGAGAGAAAAGAAAAGAAAAAGCTGTTTCTTGTCACAGAAAGCAAGCACACATGTACTGCAAGGATGATAATGATGCAGGTCACGAACAAGTTGATTAAATGGAAACAAACTCATAGAAGCCTTTTCTATCAGATTAGCTGATGTTATCAGAGAAGATTTTTCCCAAAATTTGTGTGGAAAAAGTTAATTCTTGACTGCTATCATTTCATACGAAACGTTGACTATCACAATCCAATTTTGCAAGTAACAATCACCTCATGAATGCGTTGACCAAATAACTGATGTTGTGAATTTTGATCGTTGTGATTCGTATAAATGAGTAAACTGAGAATATATTAGATTTTAATTATTTAATAGTGTATCAAGTTTTTTTTTTTATCATATGTTTATGTATACAAGTCGAATATATCTTTTTCTGGTAGTTAATATAAAATAGATTATATCTTTTTCATGATATAATCATTATTGATCCAAAATACTTAAGTTCAAGTATAAATGATTAACCCAATAATGAGATACGATAGCTAATTCAATTAACTCAGAGGCATATAAATAACCAACCTAAAATGTTTATGCTTAAGTAAATAATAGTAAACTTATCTAACTTTTATCGACCATTAAGCTCGAGTTAATAGTTGCCTACTGTTTAACACTATGTATCAAATCATAATGTTCATGCTAAATGTGTTCATGCTATAAACAAAAATATATATATAAATGTTAAAACCAATAATAAAATTAACTTAGGTAACTGTCTCAATAGAAAACATCATCTTGTTTTGTAAATCAATTTGAGCAATTTATAAAAAAAAAACTCCTCAAAAGTCAAATTTTATCATATGATACTCTCATATTTGTTTTTTAATTAAGAGATACTTCTTTTTTATATATTATGATTGATCCTTAGTTTCCTCTAAGTTATTTGAGTTAAATCGATTTATTGGGCATTAATCAAACTAGATTGATTCAATAAAAGTCTTAGTATTTGATTTATTCTTTTTAAATCTTATATTATAATTTTTCCTAAATTATTCTGCTATCCTCATTTCCAAATTACCCTCACCACCTCTCATTTCGCCACCTCCTCTCCCTCTCTATTAGCTTCTTTCTTCTCACCCTCCTCATCTATTTCCTCCTCTCCATCCCCTTTCCTCTACCTTACCTCCACCTCCCTCACCCCCTCCTCCTCCTCCCTCTCCCCCTTTCTCTCTCTCTCTTTCTCTCTCTCTCTCTTATCCTTCTACTCTTCTCTTTCCTCTCCCTCTTTTTCCTTCTTATCCTCGAATAAATTTAATCGTCATTGTAATCGAATTACACTCGAATAAATTTAAAAACATATTAATTTGTATATAAAAATATTTTTAAAAATATCCTTAAAATATATTAATTTTTATTTAAAATTATCCTAAAGTGTCTAGAAAAATCCTTACACTTGAATTACACTCATTCATAAAATATATTAAAAAAAATTATATAAAATTATCCTTAATCCATCATGAATACAAATTTTTATATTAAAATCTTATAATAACATGTTAGTAGTTTTGGAAAAGTTTGAACTTGTTTGTTAGAAATTAACTTGAGTTATATTTGAATACATGTTCAACAAAAAAACATCCTATTTGAAAATCATCCTAAACTCATAAGAAATTTAAAAATAATATTATATATCTTAAAATCAAGTGTTAATAGTTTTTAAAATGTTTGGATTGGTTTGATTTGAATTAACTTGAATTATACTTAAGTTATTCTTAATCATAGATTCAATATAAAAATATCATATTTAAAAAAATAATCATCCTAAATTTTATAAAAAATAATAAACATATTAGCGTTACACCCCAATAGTTTCGAAGAGGTATGGATATGTTTAATGAAAATTCAAAAAGTTATTCTCGACTACATATTCAACATAAAAATACTCTACTTTAAAAATTAATCACCCCTATATTCAAAATAAAATAAAATAAAATAATACATATATTAACATCCCACCTTATTAGTTTAGGAGAAATTTGGATAAGTTGGGTGAAAATTTACGTATCACAAATTGAATAAAAAAATATCCTATTTAAAAAATTAATTACTCTAAATTCATAAAAATAAAAAAATTGATACTAAGCATATTATCACCTCATCTAGTAGTTTTAGAGAAGTTTATATAAATTCGATAACAATTTAACATGTTATATTCTATCACTAATTCAACCTAAAAATAATCCTCTTTTAAAAAATTATTCATCCTAAAATCATAATAAATATCTTTAAATGATATATTAGTAGTTTTAGTGAACAAAATTATACTTGAGTTATAGTAACTTACAAATTGAACAAAATTCGATTCGATCCATTGTGATCGAACGCGACTCGAAGCAATTCAACTTCAATTATTTAGATCGGACGAAATCAGCTCATGAATTTATAACTTGTTATTGTTCGATTCAAGGAAATTATTATATATTTTTGTTAAAAACCAAATATAAGGTTTTTTTTATATTTAGATAATCTTATTTTTTTTAAAAAAAGGGATATTTATCAAGAACTGTTTTTTTGATAAATAACCTAATCAACCTAATTCTTCCTATCACAACTAAATCATTTGATAAAACAACGCTTATACTCCCAATTTGAGATGTTCGGGTTGATTTAACATATTATTACACAAGTAATAGTTCTGTTGTTCGAGTTGATGTATCAACGGACATGAAGTGTGAGGCTTAGACTAAACATTAGGATTTGGTTGATTCAATCGACCAGTTCTTAAAGTTGGTTTGGGGCAGCAACTCCTCGGCGAAACGAATGAGATCGCGTACCATGAATTCCTTCTGAGCTAAAATACTCGTGATTTTAGGTTTAGAAGGGAGGGATGGCCGCGGCGGCGCACACGGCGATGGCGTTGCGAGGCAAGATGGTGTACGAGCTCTACAGGGCGTTCACCCACGTGGCGGGGCCGATCATATTCGCCCACATACAGTGGCGGAGGCTGCGCGGCGTTGAGCACCCTACCCGGTGGCCGGAACGCTTCGGTCGCTCTTCATCGCCTCGCCCTCCCGGCCCTCTCCTCTGGTTTCACGCTGTCTCTCTAGGTACTGCATTCCTTCCTTCCGCCATGGCTACGCCTGTATTCCGGTATTTGCACCTAACGATGACTTCGATTCCTCTCAGGCGAAGGATTGGCCGCGATCCCCATGATCAAGCACTGTGTTCGTGTGCAACCCAATTTCGTCGTCTTGATGACGAGCACAACGACATCGGCTTTGTAAGCACTGATATTAATTTCCTTGTTCTTTTTTATTGATTGTTTGAGAGAATTATGAAAGGATGGATTATGCATGTCAATTGTTCGACCTTAGGCTTGTTGAACATGTTGTCAGTCTTGCTGGATCTATGATTAGTAACCTTTAATGCTATAAGTGTAGATGTTAGTGATTTAGAAATGCACTGTATCATAACAAGTGTTAGCACTGGTTATTGCAGTGAAGTCATCAAGGACCAGCTACCAGATGGTGTCATATATCAGGTTTGCTAATGATTCACACCATTGTTCATTCTCAATATCAAGAGACATCGTGGGTTTATTGTATCCCAGTCGGTTGGGACTGTCTTTCTTTCGTGTTGGTTGCATTTCAGTGATGTTTCAATTTTTTGTTTCCTAAAATAGTTGCATATTGCAGTGACGTGCATATTTTTTACAGCTTGCCCCTCTTGATTCTCCTACCGCAGTGGGTAAGTTTCTGGGATACTGGGACCCTGTTGCTGTCTTTCTTATGGAAAGTGAACTATGGCCCAACCTCATCATATCTGCTGCAGAGAAAGGAGTGAGTAATCTCTTTGTAACTCTTCTTGTTTCTACATATAATTGAAGCAGTTCTTCTAGAAGTGCTTGGTTTATGGTATTTGTGCTGGTGTCAAAAGAACCAACAAAATGATTTTTAGATGGGAATACAGTATACAAGTGAAAGATGAGACAGCAAAGGTTATGTCTTGTGAGGTAATTAGGAGATCGTTTTATCATAGCAAAAAAGGCTCATATGAGTCGTACAAATATAGTGTAGTCACTGGGTAGTCATTAAGAAAAAATCTTAAGATACCCTCTCGTGACAGTGATGTGCCCTAATCAACAAGATTTCCTTTCTACATCTAAGTGAGGTCCGGATAGAATTTTAGTCTTGGTTTTTCTTGACAGGGATTTCTAATGATCTTTTTCTTTGTTCTTCTTTTGCTCATCTTCAATACACGTCTTCACGGTCCGTAACAGTAATGGGAAAGTTTTTCCTTATAAGTACAACATTTTGGATATCTTTTCTGTTTCAGACTGTTATTGTAGTACATGCGCTTAGGTTATTCATCTAGCCCTTTATTAGTTTGACAAATTGTCCCTATATTCTCATGCTTTGTGTGTATTATTTTTATTTTAGAATTGTTATCTCAAAATGAGTCACCATCTATGTTCTTTTCAGATTCCAGTGGCGTTATTAAATGCTAGGATGTCATGCAAGTCTTTTAAGCGTTGGTCAAGAACATTAGCACTGCCTCTAATTTCCTTGATGCTGTCAAAAATATCTTTGATTGCCCCACTGGTATGGACCTCTCTTCGCCTTTTTTATGCCTCGATCTGTTTTCTTTAACAATATTTACTTATTAAATATGGCAGAGCACACTTCAGGCCGTCCATTTTCAATTGCTGCATGCATCACCACATATCATCCATTTTGCTGGTGATTTGAAATATGGTATTCTTCCATATCTGTGACCTTATTTCTTTATTAAATTATTTATTCTTCATCGTAGTGACACTAATCTACTCCACAAATACATGGATGCAGATTATTGTGAGAAAGAGATAAGATACTATACAATTTTTGTCTTGTATGTCAAACTTCCTTTGACACACCTTTTTCCTTTAAAATTTAGCTGTAGGAGATCTCAATGTCCTCGAGGAAGACATTAGGAAAATAAAGGATCTTCAACTACAACTCGCCAGTAGGCCTGTTTGGATGGCATCATCTATACACGAGGGTGAAGAAGAAGGTCAGCATCTCATTACTTTTTTGGTGCTTCCTTCGGCAGCTGTTGGATTATTATTCATCATTTATTGTGTTGTAGACTTTTAGTATTTTGGATTTCCTTAGTTGTTTGCTTTTTTCTATTTTCATTTTACTTAATCATTCATGAGTGTGAATATATAGTAGGTTACGATTTTATCATATCATCTATAGTTGCTTCTCTATGAAGCATGAAGAATTAAAAAAAAATGCTTGCTGTGTCTGTCTCTTGTTGATGTTAGTCACCATAACTTGTAAGATAATTACATGCTGCATGTTCAAACATAATTAGAATATGCATCATGCATACGCCTTTATTATAATGCATGATATATATGTAGAACGCACATATCATCCACATTAGGCTCCTTTGCATATCAAAAACCAGTAACATGTCCTTTCGTACTTTTGACTTGCTATGGATATGAATAACATCATTAATGCGATTGTAGTTGAAGCTTTTTTTTTGTAATGTGCATAAAGGGCTTTCACATGTTGTGCTAATTGTACATAATATTTCATATGTAAAATTGTAGAAATTTATTTGTTGTCATCACCTGAAGAGGGATTACCCATTTTTCCCATTGCTCTTTTGTTTGTTGGCCTGCTTGAGTATTGTTGCCATCATAATATTTAATTATGAATTCACCTTTTCATTTTAATCAACTTTAATTTTTTTCCTTGATGCAAGGCTTATTTTGTGATACATGGTCTATATCATTGTTGATGCTTTAATCACTGTTCATATTTAGGGCAAACACTTCATAAGTCATTCTAATTTCTTTTGATATTTTAATCATTATTAATGCAAATGCTTCTTGAATCACAGTCATGCTTTGGGTTCACAAAGAATTAATCAAGATGCACACCGACCTGGTTATGATTCTGGTTACAAGGCATCCACGACATGGGCAACAACTTGCACTAGTATGCATCTGATGCTTTATGGGTAAATTATACATATTGTGCTATTTCCGTTAAGTCTGTATGTGAGAATCCCAAAATCCATGAAATAGGTAGTTATGTTGAAAAATCATCTTCTTCTCTCAACCTGATTTTCCAAAAATCTTTAGCATAACAGTTAGATGCCTTTTGATATGTTGGATGTTTTAAATACTGTAAATTGGTTCTCGTTCTAGAACCACTTATAGAGCCATGAACCTATAGCTGCAGTAGCCTATAGAAGCAATCTACTGTCCAATGAAAGAGCCAAATTGTTTTGTAGCAGCAGAGGAGTAACAAGTTGAGGTGTAATTACCAATGTTGCTGAATTTCATAAGACATATGCTATTTGAGCATAAATGCATGCTCGTCTATATTTTAAACTTTATTCTCTATTTTGTAAATTGTTTAAAAAAACTTTGTGAATTATTTGGTGAGAAATTTTCAAGGTTTTCTTTCTTTGCTTATGTTAGCTGAATTTTATAACCAATTAGGTCCATTCTTACTTGGCTTTTTAAGTACTGTGAATTATGAGATGCCCTTCTTCTTTGCCTGCGAGATTACTGCAGATCCAACTTGCATATTAGCTGTCATGACTAATCAACTTTTTTTAATATGTTGTCATGTATTATGTCATACAGTGCACTTTATATATATGGGATGTGTAGAGTTGTAAATGTTCTTTCTTTCTGTTAAGGAGCTTGTGGCCATAAATTAGTTGATTTATTAATTACAATACTCACTGAAATTTACCTATATACAGACCATAATTTTCATAAGGGAAAGTTGGTAAATTCATTGAACTATTAGATTTTCAATCAGAAAATTTCTCTGGATATGCTGGATTTGTCTAATATTCATGATTTAGCTTATTCAAATTGGTTAACTTAAAAAAATCATATGAAATCATGTTGCATTAGTGGAGCAAGGGTTTCAGGATTTTAATCAGAAGAATAATCTTACGAGGAGTGGACTTTAAGTATCTTTACTCTGCATAGATCTTTACGGTAATTTATTATTTTATGGATCATAAATATTTACTAGCAAATCTCAACTCTAATTGATTAGTTTCCACGGAAAATCATCCTTTATAAATCGATTAGAAAGTTCTTTTTATCTTATTTTTATGGAAAAGCTTTAATTCTTGGGCATTAACCTGATTTCTGCTATATATCCCTCTATGAGAAATAAATTCCAGAAATTTTAATCATATCTAGCTTTTATCTATCTCCTTGCCAATTGCTTGGGTTGTTATATATATATATATATATATATATATATATATATATATATATATATATGAACGTTTACAATCTTTGTACAACGCATTTACTTGGTTCTATTATCTGTGCAGGCATTAAAGAAACAAGGGATGAATGTTTCATTGAGGTCTAGAAGTGAAATAATTTCTTGTAGCACTAGTATATATGTGGTGGACACTTTGGGTTGGTATTTCATATTACTGTTTAGTGCTTGCATGATGCTAGAATCTATGTTGGTTGCTCATGTATTGCTTTTGGGTTATTCTTTTTTATTTCAAATTCATCCAACTCAGCTTCCATCATTTATATCTTTTATTCATGTATATTTATATCACGTCTACATTTTTCATTGTTCCATATGTAATAGACCATATTTTGATTGGCTATGGAGTGATTTCAATAGGCGCTTGGGCGCTCGCCTAGGCGCTCGGGCTAGGCGAGGCCCGAGCGCCTCGCTTCAAAGAGGCGTCGCCTGGGTGCTCGCCCGAGCCCAGGCGTTGGGCGCTTCGGGTGAGCACCTAGGTTAAACTAAGCGACCGAACCAGATGTTTAGGTCTAGTTGGTCTCCGGTGCTTTAGTTGGTTCAATCGAACCAACTAAATCACCGATATCGAGCTCCCTTTTGCGATTTCCCGACTTCCCCAACCCTAACACGCGATTTTGCCGGCGAGATTTCTTCTCCGTTGTCGTTGCTCTCTGCTGTCGCTACTCGCCGCTGCCACAATCATTGCTCGTCGACTGCTCGCCATTACCACAATCGCTGCTCGTCGCTCCCGTTGTCGCCGCTTCCGTTGTCGCCGCTCCCATTGTCGCTCGCCCCTGCCGCTCGTAGCTCCCGCTCCCACTCTCGCTGTCGCTGCCGCTCGTCGCTCCCGCTCCAGCTACGGCTGTTGCCTGCTATCGCTGTCGTTGCCTCAGCAACCTCAGTTTCTCACACTCTTCTCACTATACTGTTAACTGCATATTAACAGTATACTGCTATCTATATACTAATAATAGTATTTTTATTTATTAGATTAATAACATAATATTTTAATTTTAATACTATTAATTTTTATTTATTTAATAGTATATTTTTATTTAAAAAATAAAAAAAATAGACTATTATGATTTATTTATTTATTATGATTTTATACCCAATTTTCTTAATTTAATAGCATATTTTTTTTATTTAAATAATTATATTTATTAATTATATTATATATTTTTATATTTTAGCGCCTCGCTTCGCTCGGGCGAACGCCTAGCGCCTCGGACGTTTTTGGACCTTCGCGCCTTTTGACGCCTAACGCTTTTTAAATCACTGTGGAGTACTGTGCTTTAAACTTTAAACTTGCGAAATGTAAATAGGCATCAGTGTTTTGGATCCAAAAACTGAGATTGGTACAATTGTTTGAGCTTGTTGATGATTGGTCTACTGTAGATTGGTAATATATTTATAATAACTGGTTTATGTTACCTAAACTAATTCTAGCTTGATAAACAAAACATAAAAGGGATTAGGATGTGTATGGCAAATAAGTATGTGAGCATTTTTTTTAGGTAATCCAAAAGTAATGGGATCAATGGCCTTTTGTAGAGAAACAATTATGTGACTAGGATGTGGTGTCTAGAATCTCTAGATATTCAAGTTGTGAAAAACAGGGCTACAGTTGCTGCATATCCCATGGACATTTTTAGATGAGAAATGAAAAATAACATGAATATATCTGACTCTCCAGTTAAGTAAGCCTATCTTTGCACCAGAAAACTAGTTCATAAAAGCAAGTTAGTGATCCGCTAACTGTCAGGGGGTTCTGTCACAGAACCTCAGTCTATATGATAGTAAGAAGTTGATGTGGGGTGACACTAACATTTGACCTGGAATTGATATGTTCTGCTTGCACAGTTATCAAGAATCTTGTCAACGACATATTTTTGACACAAAATAAGATCCTTTTGAATGAGATGCATAGGAGTATTGAAGTCTTAAACTGCATAATTCAATTCCTAACATGCGGATTGGCAATTATATGGTTAAATGAAGGTTTTTTTGTGATCAATATCTTTCTCTGGGCACTATATTTGTCATAAAATACAGCATGATGCTTTACTATGCCTGTTGTATGGGAAGATGCCAGAGAATGGTACAGAAAGTCATGATGTATAGCCATCATCTTCTGTAGTAATCTGACATCGATAGGCCTTCATGTCTTGCTTCCATTGATCAAGAATGGCTGTTCTATTTGTCCACACTAACTTGTAGCAGTTATTTATGTTATTTGACAAAGGTCCTAAAGTCATAAACATTATTCCTTCCAGAATATATTATGCATTTAATTATCTGCCTAATTATGCGAAGCATTGGACGGTGGATGATCTAAAAGATATCTGAGGATTATGCAAACCAAGATCTTTTTGTTCACATTATTTTTTAAGCTAAGAAAAATATTATTTGATTTTCTAATATAAGGATGCCTGTCACTGACAAATTTTTCATACTGAACTATTCATGATATTCTAGGATGTATATTCCTACTGGAAATGGAAAATGAATTTTTAGATATTTGATGGTTTGAGTCCTTATGTGCTTGCAGTTGGTTCAAGAAGCAAGAGAAAAGATCAGTCTTGTTGGACAATAAGTTTGATGTGGTTACTTTTGCGACAAATACTTTGTGAAGAGTGCTTTTCTGTTTGATATGATTCACAGGATGCTACTGTATGCCATTTTGATCCCATGGAGAAACTTCGCTTGGAATAAGTTTATAACTGAGAATCCCGGTGACACTAGTTTGTCTAATAATTAAGTGGAAACATACGACTTCAAGTTGTGGTCTATATTCTATTAATTATTTTATACTACAGCCATGCCATGGTTACCTTTGTCTTCTAGCTGTTGATGTACATCTGCCATTTTGACTGATTTAGCATATTTTGTTCCTAAAGATGATTTACTTTATTCACAGGAGTGAGAGGAGGTAGCTGTCAATATTAAGGATAGTGTGGGCTATAATTAAGCAGCATACAATAGCTAGGATATACTGTCTTAAACAACTAGGTGGAATGGAGTGAAAATAAGGCTTCCTGTTATTAGGCTATCGATAATCGCTGGAGTAGTTAATGTATATGTAGGTTGTTGTCTCATTCAGGATGCTGATATTTTAGAACTATGGTGTTGAACATACGTAAGCTATGCATTTTCATTAGGTAGGTAGTCAGCTGAAATTTGTCTATAAATGCACCTCATCTTTGCATAAGAGCCATCATTTTTCTTTTTTATTACTATACTTGTTTCATGTCTATTGTTATTCAGTTTGTTTAGCACATTTCTCTCAATAGGGACTGCAAACATAAGTTCCATCTATCTGATCCCAATTAGTTAGGATTTATGCATTATTTCTCTATAGCAAGTGAATAGATTTAAAGAGTCTTTTGGTTAGCTATGTAATCATGTGTGGGTCTTTGCTAGAGGTAAATTTGTTGTTATGACATTTTTTATGATACACAGAAGTTAAAAAATCTGCTTATATGTTCTCGTTACTTATTATTTTAATGTTTGGGTGCTTTTTGGTGGGGGATTTCTAATTTTTGCTAACTTTATGATACAGGAGAACTTAGGACACTTTATAGGATAACTCCAATTGCTGTGATTGGAGGTTCTTTTTTGCCTTGTTTAGCTGGTCATAATGTTGCCGAGGCTGCTGCAGCTGGTTGTGCTGTTTTAACAGGTAATAAGCTAAGCTTACATTAGTACTTACTAAACATCTTTCCAGAAAGCGTGTGATGCTTCAATGTTTGAAAAACTTTCAGGTCCTTATGTTGGACATTTCTCGCATATGTTAGCTGGAATGCTACAAGCAGCTAGTTCATCAGTCCAGCAGGTCAGAGGTGTCTGTTGTTTCTTTGTCTGCCTACTCCTGAAGGGCCACTATTATCTAAATGCTCTGTATTTAGTTTAATTTTTATAGAACTTTTGCATAATAAATCATGCATTGTTGTGATGAAACAGAAATTTTATGGTTTTGGTAAAGGGTAAATCTGGAATTATTTTAATTGATAGATGTTGATAAAATTTTAAAGCTACCTGAAATTCAGGTACTCCAGATATACTAATAATATGAATTTTTTAATAAAGAAATTTTGTCTAGGATACAAGTTATCAGATGCTGATTATGTTTTTGCCTGACCTTGTTGGTCACCGTAGTTCCCTTGATTTCTGTATTTGTTGTCAACCCATAGAAAAATCAGCTTTTATCTTGCAATTGAGTAGGAAGAGCTGAACTTGTCCATGTTATCTTGGTCATTTATTTTGGAGAGTACACATTGTAGTTATGATAGTAAATGCCATAGCAATGGTATAATGAAACTCAACATCTTGTTTTTAAGCTTTTGCACCATGGGACATTCACCCTTCTCATCATCATTAATTTTTCTAGTACATTTTTAGTATTTTTATCTGCAAATTTCAGCACATATGTACATTATTCCCTTCCCCTGTAGCATTGACACCAGACACTGTCCTTGCAGGTTGCAGATAAAGCTGAACTATTAGAAGCACTGAAAAAGCTGCTTACCGATAAAAAGTCTTTGGAAGCACACTGCAGGGCTGCAAAATATGCATTTTCAACTGTTTCAAAGGGAGTTGTGGAAAACGTCTGGAAACTTGTATGTACATTTGTTCTTAAACAGTCCATAGGAAAATCAGATGAAGGTTGATCAATGGTGAGAGTCTCGTGATATGTCGTGTCCTTTTCTTTATTGTTATTTTATTTACTGAAGATAATTACTGATCCTTGAAATCTATATTTGATCATTTAAACACTAATTTGTGATCATGGCTTTGTTTAAATGGCTAGTGCCGGATTCTATATTTTTATGCTAGTCAGTCATTTTTTTAAAACTTAGGTTCATAGTTTTGGCATTCTTTGTCTGCACAAAATGGAGATTTCTTTGTCATCTTTGCATTTTTTTTCTTGAACAATATGCATGTTCAGATTTTTCAGTTAGTTTGTATCCTCTGTAGGAATGGAAATGGGTTACAGTTTCAGTTATTAGAAAAAATGTCAACTCGTTCTCTATTCTACTTTGCAGGGGTCTGTTTTATTTGCTCACTTCTGCTTTTGGTATGCAGGCTTGTTCTTTGTTGAACTTGACTCTTATGATTCGATTGTACAGAACAATTTTGTGGAATAGGTGGAAGACGATCAATATCTTCTCCAAGTGGTTTATTGTGATTGTTCCTTTTGCTTTCTGCTAGTGTCAGCAACCAATCAGGGCTTCCTGTACTTCTGATCCGCAGAGAAGAAGCTGCTATTTGTGTACTGCTTGCACAATGTACAAGTTGGTGTATTTGTTTGGCCCAGAGTAGATGTTGGTCTCATCGCTGAACAATGGAGTTTTTACCTCTTACAAAATCTCAACTATTACAAGAATGACGATGTGCGACAGCGTTATTTACTATGACAGGTTCATGGGTTTCATACATTAGCAAAAAGTTTATAGGTCTTGGCATCCAGAACGATCTGCCGCACTGCAGAAATGGAACCCAGCACTGACAGTATCGAGAATACTATGGCTATGGTGGTGTTCAACCAAAAAAGCAGGCCTCTCTTTGAAGGTTTGAAGGTGATGTTGTACATAACTGATGGCACTGCAAAATCAAGGGGCAGGAACCCAAAAGCACCAATGGCTGCATTGAAGGCACCAAAGAAAGGGAGCATCGCTGCTATGAGAGTTGCTATGGCGATGGATAGTGACCGGAAGATGAGCCTTGGCACAATGTTCCGCGCAGAGTATTGATCCTTGGTTGGGTCAGCAAACAACCCCTCAAGTATCTCATTTGATGGCTGCAAGTATACCTGTGTGAATCAATAGGAGCTTTGGATCAGCTAGATGATTGGCAGGCATACTTCAATATGTTCTTTAGTTTACTGAACATTCCAAGTTTCAGAACAAATTTATGAAGGGAAGCTCATAGAAATTTCTGTTCTTACCACTCCTACAGCAGCTAGTTGGAGAAGAACAAACAAATTGGTCATCACGAGGAACCACTTTGGAACTAAAGTTGAGCTGTTCTTCAGAATGAAGTTGGCAAGGATGGAGCCTTCAGCTTGGTTGCCAAATGCCCAGTACCCCGATATTGCCACACTGAAGAATGTCATTATCACGATCACGTAGCTGAGACAAAGGCCTTTGAACATCTTTCCTGTTACAGGACGAGCTGCTGTTGCCTGGCAAGATTGTGCAAGAAAAACAACAGATGAAGGTTCTACCGAATAGTTGTCACTCTCATCTCGTTCACCAGTGTCTACAGTGCAAAAGGAAGAACAGACCTGTATCTCTGGAATGATACCATTGCCGTAGGTGGTTGCGATGATTGCAATGCCACTGAATATGCCGAAGATACGGTCTTGGCTATCACTTGAAAGAGAGTAGTCTCTCGGTGGTGCACCAGCCGAGTGTCCTGTCATCAATTCAAGGTATGTGTTATGTTTTGTTTATCTAAAATAAATTGTCCAATAGAATCCTAGTAATCTATGGTGTATTAAGCGTAGAGAGGGAAAGGAATAATACCTGCATGAATGGAACCTGCAGTGGCACATGCACTGTACGCCAAGCAGAGCACTAGAGAGATGAGGTTGACATGCCTGAGGGAGTGGAAGGAGGGGATCTGCGCCAGGACCATCATGAATACCCCGAAGATGGCCACGAACTCATAAAATTTCATCGTGCCTTCCGGCCTTGCAATCAGGTATATGGACTGTAAAAGCTTAGTTTAATTTAGTTCTTCTAGTCAACGAATAATTAGTTTGATAGGCTGCAGGAGGTGAATTGAGCCAATAAAAATTTTGATTTAATTCGTCCGGTTAACGCAACAAATGACTAGTTTGATAGGTTGTGCAAGGGTGTAGGAGGTGAATTGAGCCAATAAATGTACCTTCAAGCTTTGTCCTCCCAGTAGGCCTACACCAAAAACTGTAGAAAAGCATATTGTGAACTGAATTGGGGCAACATAGTAACGACCCCATTTTGGCCCTGTTTCATACGAACCCAAACGTTTGATTAGTTCAAGATTAGCATTCTGAATTGACCAAAAAGAAACAAAAAAACTGTAAATGACATCCACCCTTCAAATAATTTAATAAATAGCTGATTAGAGAAGTATTTTAAAAACTAAAATAACAAATAAAAAAAATAAAGATAGATGCCTGCAATCATATAATTGAAATCGGAATCAGAATCGTTAGTTCCTGCCTGGAATTGGTTCGTTGGCTAAACCGGGTTTCAGAACCAAGGTTAGTGTTAGATGATATTGATAACAAGTCAATATTCTTCCTGCCATTTATCATGTCATATATTCTCAAATTTTGGTTGGCTTTGGATTGCAAACCAATTGGTTGTTGACTTATTTAACGTATGATGCTAGTGTGGAAGATAATTCTGGCTAAACTATGGCCCTTTAGTCAAAGCTGCATGTAGATAGATATATGTTCACGTTGACCATGGTTACGCAAGTAGGCAAAGAGCAGGTGAAATGATTTCCCTCTCTAGCCGAAGCCCACCCAACCTCCATAGTGATCCTTTTTCTTGACTGCAGCTTTCGTTCACATATCAGTTTGATGTCTCTTAGCGAGAAAATATTGGCCGGTCTCTTTTTGTTCCTTCGTATCCATTTTGGACCAAGTCAAAACTCCTGATCCCAAAATATGACCATGCTTCTAACAAAACTAGTATCGTTTGATATCTACGTAAAATAAATATTCTACAGCAAGAACAACAACGCGGTACAAAAGCCGCAAAAGGAATAGAGGTCATTTGGTGGTGACGTATAAGAAACATTACCGAGGATGTCGTGGGCCATGTCCCTGAATCGCAGTTGGCGGCGGCCGAGCTGATCGTGGTGCTCGAGAACGAGGGAGAGGAGGTTGTAGGAGTAGAATGTGACGGCGGCGCCCATGACGAGGCACGCCACGGCCGACGCCCACCCGAGCGACGCGAACGCCAAGGGGAGGCTGAGCAGCGCCGGGGAGACGATGGAGGTGGTGAGATGGTAGGCGCAGTGCAGCCATGAGCCTGCAGTAGTCGATGCCAAACGATTAAGTGTCCTTTGTGCGTGCCCATATCAAGAATAATGTGGTGATGGGAAAGCACATGCTACGCCGTACATTTTGTGGTAGATTCAACACTTGCAGGATCAAGCGGTCATCAAAGAAAAAGAGCAAAATGGGATATATATATATCATTCAATTCATTAACATCAAATCATTCCGAAACTTGATTTATTTCCCATCGTGCGGGTTTAAAAAATTGATCCATACCTGAGAAAAGTTTTGAGAAACGAACAAGTGTATGAGAACTGAGGACATGAGTTGACAAAAGACGATGGCTTTCTTCGTCATTCCGGCCGAAGAAAGAGAGAGAGAGAGAGAGAGGGGTGTGTGGTAATTGTAGTCACCTTTGGACTGGAGAACAAAAAGAGCTCCGGCATCCAGCTTCTTCTGGTCACCTGCAGGTGCCGCAGAAGCAGCATCAACGGCATGGCTGTCGGTGCCACCGCTGGCCACCATCTCCTCTGCTGCTATGGAATTGTGGGAACAGCTTCTCGTCGCCCCTCGCAGGGACAGGATTTCCATTGATGTAGGAAGATATGTGTCCATATCAATTCTTTATAAAAAAAATAAAATGTATTATTTCGTATTAAGATGTTTAAAAATAGGTGACTCGTAAAATATTGTATATTAATTAACAAGATGTGCACTATATTTTATTTTTCTAAAATAGAAATATAATAAATATGTTTCCATTTTCATACTTCCTTTAACAAATATGGTTCCCAAATTCAATGAATTATTTTAAAAAATGATGTTACTTTATCCATGTATATATTCAATAATTATTAATGTAATCATATGATTTAGCCATGTGATTATATATGTATATATATATATATGTATATGTATATATATATATATATATATATATATGTATATATATACATATATATACATACATATACATATACATACATATATATATATATATACATACATACATATATGTATATATGTATATATATATATAATTTCCTATTAAGGTGTATAAAAATAGAAAACATTTGGTGACTCATAAAATATCGTCTACATGAAAATTTAAGAAGAAAGTAATAATTGATAAGATGTGGAAGCAAATTGCCTCGTTTCCTATTGTATAAACGCATCACCGTAATCTCATCTTTTTCTACAAGAAGAAAAAAAAGCCAGGAGAAGAACAATTCAGTGGGAGGCAATGGTAATCAGCAGCAAAGGAGGTGTGTCGGCGCAAGTTGCGCAAAACATTCACCGCAAACCACGAAGCATACAGCACAGGTGGCGACGTAGCACCACCCCTCGCCATTGCGGCAGCGACCTTTTCTTTTTTATTTTTCATGTGAAACATCTTCAAGTGCTCTCCACTTCTGCTAGTGGTATCTAAATGTATGCTGCAGTTGCTTTAACTTCATATCATCGACCATCAGAGCAAAAGTTTCTAACTTTAAATAGTGTTTTAACTTAAACTTGGCATTTTGGGTACCAAACCTGTTTCTATCGGTATACCATGTGTAAACACACCAATGTGTATCAATGTTTCGGAAAGTGGAAAAAAAAACGATGATGATAGAAGAGGAGAACGGAGAAAGAGAAGAGATTAATAATAATAACCAAGGAAGAGGGAAAAAGAAGAGAGAGTATATCAGAGAGATAAACGAAGACAAACGAATGATGACCATCTCGAGGATATCTGAAAGTTTTAGTTAAGCCACTTCTTCTGCCAATAATACTTCACATAATAATTGGCATTCCATTAAAGTGCAGAGAAGCTTTTTGTTTTCATTTTCACTAAGTGAAATGAAGAATATCAAACATTACTCCCATGTTCTGTGAACCAAAATAATGATTGGAGAAAGACAAGCGGTTTGTCTTCTCCGGTGAAGGGTGGACGCAGGAGTGCAAAGAGTTTACCACATCAACAAGTTTGAAAATATCATTAAAAATATTAAACAGATGACAAATCAAGAAAATAGAAGCTTGATGAACATTACCCAAGATATTGCTTTAATAGTTATTACTTGCAACTGGTAGTCCATCAGATTTCTCAAGAGAACACTACTAATACAAAGGTGGTCAGTTTCATCATCATACTAATTACCTTGAGTGCAGCTTAAAACCGATAAACATAAGATTTTAGGTATCATCCAAGCGAGCTTAGCAGCAAACAAGGAAACATTGAGGAGAATATCAAGTCTTTCTAATTGGGGATGCTCCTATCCTAAGACTCGAACCAAGAAAAATTGCAAGATCCAAAAATGGACATGACAATGACACCACTGACTATGTGGTACTTACCGCAATCTACTCATTTGCCGCCACTATGCTTCGCTTTGGTGTGTGCTTGAAGAGCATTATCCGAGTTAAAAGTTCTGAGAACAAAACAAATGTCACAATAATATCATTGCAGTAGCAATCTTTGGGAAATAAAAAGGGTCGGAAATGATGAGAATTTGAAACATACCTGCTGCATGAATTGCAGGAGATTGAGCCAGCAGATTTAGGAGTTTGCTGCTTAGACTTGTCACTGTTTGCTGGAGTTTTCCCTTGTTTTGCAGGATAAGGAGTTGCAACATAGCTGCCTTTCTTACCATCAGCACCTACAGGTAATTTTTTTTGGTAATTGTAAATCCAGATGAAATGGTGAAGTTGATCGACCCTTTATTTTTCATTCATTGCCAAACACTGCACAGAGATAGATTCTACCTGTTTTTTTATTCCCAGCTGGAGAAATCACCTTTGCCTTCTTTTCTGGAGCAGGAGTCTTTAATGCAGAACCAGCTGGCCTCTTGTTACCAGTTTCAACCTGCAAAAGATACACTTCATCTTTTACATGCCATCTTAAGTTCAAAGAACAAATAATAGGGTAAATAATGAACTTAAGCTTACCTTCTTAGGTGTAGCCTCTTCCTCTTCATCAGAACTTTCATCCGCATCTTCATCATCGCTATCGTCATCCTCGTCAAGCATGTCCTGAAAGAATGTCATAAAGTAAAAAAGGTCAATCACATATCATAAGGCATTAGATAACTGCTAAGAAATAACTCAGAAAACCAATAACAAATTACTGTGGATAAATTAGAACATAAACCAGCATACCTACTACAAAATTACAAACATAACTAACTATAGTACTTGCACTAACCTCATCACCATCAGAATCATCTTCTTCAGACTCATCATCATCATCATCGTCATCATTCTCATCAGCTTTCCGCTTCTCATCTTTAACTACCTCCATCTTAGGTTTTGACTTGGCAACTGAAGCATCAGCCTTTAGAGCATTTGGTTTTCCAGCTGAGGGCTTGGGCTTTTCTTCCTTTACCTCAGATTTGCCTGGAGTTGAAATAAAAGATCAAATCAAAAGTATAAGAAACATCTTCATCATTTGGGAAAGAAATAAATGATATCAACAGTTCATTAATTCAACATGCTGGCAGGTTGAATAATCCACATAAAAATCTTCAGTGGACAGGCAAATTGTAGAAAACACAAAGGAAATAGACATATTGTTAAAAAACCATGTCCAGATAGTTCACACTAGAATAACAAGAAAATGAAACTCAAATGCTTCTGATCAACAAATCAGATTTCCGAAGAAACATAAATTTAAATGCACATATAACACCTGATTTTTTTCTGCAGAAACATACCATTGATATTCTGGGCCAGTGGAATATCCTCCTCATCAGATTCAGATTCGGTATCTAGAGGTTAATCAGAACAGCCAAGCAATTCATTAAGAAGAGGGGACTAGATAGAAAACAAATTAAAAGGAGGACAATAAACTTTAAAACAAATGAAACTTACCCATTTCATCAGACAACGTAGAGACGAAAGAAAAAGGCTAAGTCAAGGAATTCAAAATTTTAAAATAATTATGAGAAAAAACAAATAGTAACATATTGACTTGTTAACAAAAAAGTCAAATACAAATATCAAAAGGATATTCGCCTTCCTCCTGAATTACAGTCTTATAGCCCAAGAAGTAGATGCTCGTGTTCTTCAATCCATGAGATAGTTCAAATTCTTTCTCAAACACCAAATCATACTGAATTTGTGCACACTTGTCAGCGGAGAGAGTTCCAATAACTAGCTTTTTATTGTCAAACTTCACAAATACTGGCACGCCTTCATTTCCTTTATCTTTCACCTCCCCTAGTGATGCCTGCACACATAATGATGATTTTAAACATAAATTCATTTTCAACTACCACCTAATACATAAATATCAAAATGGGATGAGTAAAACCTGTGAAAGATGTAACAATTTATTTTCCCCAGGATCGACCTTAACAGTTTTGCCAGGCTGAACTTCGAGCCCTAAAAATTTGCAGTAAAATTAAGAACATTCAGAAACCTACAATAACAAAACTAAAATACAAGTCTTAACTCCTGTCCTAATTCCCACCAACATTTACTCATACCAACTAACAAATTACTGCGAAGAGTGCTTCCTAGTATTAGAAAAAAAAAATGAAGTAGGGCTTTATAAATGAAACACCAGAAAAGAAATGAGTCCATATAAAAGAGATCAGCCATTTGTATTAGCAACAGAAAAATATTGTTATCCTATCATAATTCGTTCAAAGAGACTAAAAGAAAAACCTCAAGACCCAACCAACAATTGCTCAGGCTATGACCCAATAAGAAACAACTGTTTTTCCTAAAACAAACTTGCAAAACTTTGTTTGTATCACAATTAAAATCATGTATTCATGTATCCCATTAGTAGGAATAGATTAATATTAGCATGTGGTACACTATCATAACACACCAAAGAAACTGTGGACACAAGAAATATTTAAAATGACTTAAAATGTAAACCGCATATCTCAACCAACATTTATAGTCATAATACCATGTTGCAACATGTGCATTAAGTAAAATACCTATTTTATCATCAACTGATGAACAACAACCTCTCCGATAGATTTTTATCAAATATATAGTATTTTTATTTTCCCAAATTTATTGGCTTTGTTTTGCTTTTTAGTTCTTATCTCATTGTAAATTTGATGTAGTAACTGAATCCACTGACTTTGCCCATCCCATTAGATTCCCAATGCAACTTCCATACAAAAGGATGTATATAATATATATATATATAACAGTCTATGTAAGCTTTTATACAAAAAGAAGCAATTCTAGCTTGTAAATACCAATACCCCCCCCCCCCAACCCAAACCAAAAAAAAAAAAACACTACCCCACTCTTTTGAAAAACAAAATGCACTAACGCAAAAGATGATGATAGATGTTCAAACAAACTTTGCATTTGCACTCAAAAACCCACGAAATTTACATGTCTTGGATACAAAGCACAGACTTTTAACTTTCAACTGGATAAGTACTTTGTTGATTGGATTTCATGACTGTCAAAACATGAATATTTACAGATTCCATACAGAGGAAGGCTTATCAACAAAATAACAAAGAAATTAGCAAAATAACTTTGGATAGATTTAGCGAAATCTAAAGAGTTACACTTAAGTTACGCTTGATCACAGATTTAACCCAAAACTATCGTATTTAAAAAATTAATTACTCTAAATTCATACTAAATAGAAAAAGTGATACTAAACCTATTAATCTCACCCTAGTAATTCTAGAGAAGTTTAGAAAGATTTGATAAAAATTCAATGAGTTACACTTGATCATTTATTTAACCCAAAAATACCCTATTTAAAATTTTATTCATCATAAAATCATAAAAGATTAGAAAGAAAAAAAATAAATATCTTAGAATCATGTGCTAATAGTTTTGAAGAAATTTGGATTGGTTTGATGAAAATATCTTGATTATACTCTAAGTTACACTCACATTACACTCGAGTTACACTCATTCATAGGTTTAACAAAGTTAGACCCAATCCGATCCAAATCGATCATGATCCAATCCGAATCGACCTAACCCGAACCGTGATGGCCAAACCAAACGAAACAGGCCCGTAGATCTGTGACTTGAAACAGCCCGATTCACGAGCATTATCAAAATAAAAAAAAGGCCCCCTTGATAAAAACCAATTATGGGGGTGCCATCCGATAAAAGCCCAATACCAGGGGCTTTTTTGGATAAATTCCAGATTTTTTTTTGTTCTACACGTATTAGTGAAAAGAGATCCACGAAGCGGTGATCTCATACACCTTTCGTGAATTGGGCATATCAAAATATATACTCATTGAAGCTTAAAAATTTTCTTTGACCAGCTAAAAACCCATTACAGCTTACTGGTGAGCTCAAGAAGAAAAAAGTATATAAGCTCGTAGAATTATCCAATCCTAGGATTACATAGCCCCTCTGACACGAAAAAACACCACTAATTCCATCACCCAGCAACTGAAATATTAATACACCTGAGAGATTGCCTAGAGGGATGATGCAACATTGCGAAATGTAATGATTATAATGCGAGAAAATGTATGTCTATCAAAATCGTCAGTCAACACGACCAAATAACATAATCCGAATAATCCGACTAGATTCTGTACGGAGGGAATGCTACCTAATAGAAGATTCATGTAGCCAAAGAAAACTTAAACTAATCGATCAAATCGAGCGTCGAACGAAAGATGGCAACCCCTAACAGACTTCAAGCAATCGCGTGAACGAGATGGAAGAGAGGACAGAGACGTAGAAAGAGAGGAGGATTTACCCCAAAACTCCATGGCGGTCGGCGAGGAGGAAGAGGAGGATTAGGGTTTTGAGAAGGGCGAAGAAGAAGGCGAGATCAAGAAAAAGGCGGTGAGGCTTTAGGGTTTGGTTTGGGCTCCAAAGGAGGAGGCGCTTTTAAAGGCGAACGGTAGCCACTTGAGGGTTCGGATCGTCCATCGCGGCCGTGGATGATGTGTAACTTGTGTTAAGATTCGTGCAGGCCGTCGGTCTCGTGATCCGCCCGGGAGATGCTGATTTGGTTAATTGGATCGATCACATGGAGGAGTTCCACATCCGGGTTGAGGCAGGCGTCATTCCGCTTCATATGTCCGGGTTCGGGTTTTATCTTGGGCAACGAATGGATCCGATCCGAATGGATTAACATGGGTTGGCCCTACTAACGTGGACTCGGATCATACTTGGAATAAGATCCGTTAATCTAATTAGTCAAAATAATTTTAAAAATAAATAATTTAGATAGGATAATTTATCGAAAAAACTCCTGCTTTTTATAATATGACACCCCTTATCTGATTTTTATCAAGTTTTTTTAATTTTGATCAAAATACTCTTAATAAAATCATAACAAAATAATGATTATCATTTGACTAAATCTAACTCTCTCTTTTTTAATTGAACCATTTTTTTGGATGAATAAAATCAAACCGATTTAATTAAATCTTAAATTGATCCATTTTTCCTAAATTATCCCTTGATTTTTTTTTTCAAAATTGCTCTTGATCTCCTCCACCTCCACTCCACCACCCGCTATCTCTCCCTTCATTGCCTTGTTCTACTTCTTCCACCTCATAATTTATGTAAAATAATTAATTTATTCGAGTTATACTCATTAATAGAATATATTAATTTTTATATAAAATATCTTAAAACTAAAAACTTGAGTTATTATAAAAATATATCAATTTTTATATAAAATTATTCTAAATTATATTTACAAATATAATTGAGTTATACTTAAATTACACTTGAGTTACACTCATCAACAAAATATATTAAAAATATATATTAGTTCTATATAAAATTTCCCTAAATTCATCCTTGAACTAATTATAAAATTCTACATTTTTTTTTCTCAATTTCTCGTGTTGATATAGTAACACTTGAAATGTGATTAAGTTAAACTTGATCACCTAAAATGTTTTAAATTTATTATATTTATTTTTTATGATTTTATAATAATTAATTATACCGAGTATAATTTGAGTGTAAAAGGAATTTGTTAAGAGGAAGAGTATAACTTTATTATAATTATATTTTAATATAATTTTTTAAAATTTTTATATAATATAACTTTTTTAAGTTAATAAAATAAGACGAATGAGACAAGATAAAATATAATATAATGGTAGAATACATGAGAGAAAAGAGGACTAGACAGGGAGGAGGAAGAGAAAGTCAAAGGGAGACTGATAAAGACGAAGAAGAGGAGGAAAGGTGAGAATAATGAATCAAGAAAGTCATGGAGTAAAAGGAAGGAATCAACGAGAGAAAAGATGTGGCTTAATAGGTGGAGGTGGTAGTGATGATGATGGAGGTGAAGTGGGAAGACGAGGAGATGGAAACGATTGATTGATTTTTGGAAGGCTTTCGACCCAATTTGATCCAAAGGGATTCGACCCGAATCAATTTGACTCAGATCGAATCATACCGATTGGATCAAATCAGTTTATGATTCATTATTAAAATTTTAAATAAAAAAAAGTGTTAAGAATTAAATATAAGGCATCATATGATAAAATTTTATTATTTTATTTATTTATTAAATTACCCATTTAGACTTGTCTTTTAACGCTTATATATTTTTTCTTTTCTAATGGAGAAATAATGAATACAAAATTTAATTTGAGAACTTTATAATAATTTTTATCACTTAAGTTGACTGATATCTATAAACAAAATCGTCGAATAATAAAAATTATCAAATAATATTTTGAACCATAAATTCTTAGTAAGTGAATGTGACACATTAGGGAAAAATTTAATATGATATATTAGCATTAGATTAATATTAATAATATCTTATTCGCCAGATTCCGTAGGTCACGTGCTTCACATCTCTCTCGCTACCTACCCCCGCTTCATCCTCCTTTTAGTTCTCCCTCCTTCCCCTCCTCACTCTGTGACAGTGACAGCGACAGCGACAGCAGCAGAGGCGACGACTGAGGCGAACGAACGTTGCGCCATGGAAGTGGAAGCCATTCTCGCCGGTCTGATCCCTTCTTGGAGCTCCGTAAGTGCATGAAGCGACGCCCAAGGCCTGCTGGTCTTGCTGCCATCTTTATGTAGAGTTGTGATTGCGCATATAATCTCTTTCTTCTTGTTAGGTCGTTCTTCTTTCGTGCTATTTGGGGTATTTGGCTGTCGCCGGATCCGTGCTTCCGGGAAAGATCGTCCCCGGCGCCCTTCTATCAGACGGCTCACGTCTCCATTACCGATGCAACGGTCCGCCGATCCTCCACCCATCCTCCGCTTACTGTATACCCGAGAGCGTTCTCTTGATAGAACACTTGATTATGTTGTCTTCTTGATTGTCTTGTTGCATCGCTTCTGTTTAAAGAATGGCTTTTTTGCAATAAATGAATGCATAATGCACCTGGGATCTCTTCCGAGGAACGCAAGGCCTACAAGTGTTTGTGGAAATGTCATATCGCATCTGCTGGGTTTGTGAATGCTGAAAATGTGACATGAGTTTAAAATGATGCAGTAATTGTAAAGACTTGTATCTAAGACTGTTTGCAAGTTCAGCACGAACTGAGCTTCGTCAGATGACTTAGATGTAATATCAAGGGAGTGTTTCCTGGAGAAATATTGATTTTTTTTCCTTTGAATAATCAAAAGCTTGGTTTGTGGCTGAAGGTGACCTAAGTTAAAATACTTTGATGTTATGTTTGATAGCAAGAACCACGTTTGTCCAGAGTGTACCTGTAAGTTTGTTTAACGATAATGAATTGCTCCATTTATTACTGCATAATAGATATAATCTTTAACCAAAATTTAGGTTCCTTGTCCCCAATTGTTTTAACAAACTGTTTTTCCTTTGGGATCACTGTGTCGAATGTATACACCATTCTGGAGCGGAGGATTGAGAAAGTGTGGAAGATTTCAACATAGGACAATGGTGGATCCCAGCAGATCTATCAAAATTTGGCAAGTTGTTGGTTGGGAAGTTATACACATATTAAAATGCACGGAAGAAAAAAGAGTGAGACCCATGAAGTTAGTATAGATAGCACCTTAATTGTGCCTATAAAACATATGTAGGAATTGAAATATCTGGACCATTCATGTCTTCTATGCTTTATTGATTCTTTTCCTTATGGTTATATATCTTGCAATGTACCATTTTTCAACATTGTGACAATGGTTCTGAGATTTTTTTTTTCCTTGCTCTTTCTTCCCTTTCAGGTTTGGCATCACTTTTGCTGTTAGTGGCACTTCTAGAGATTGGTATTTACATGAAGTTGATGTCTGCCGTGGTATGCATTTTTTAACTGTATTTATCTATACTCTTATACACACAATGGTTTACATGCTCAATCACGTACAACTTATATAAACATGGATGATCTTGTTTTTCTGCTTATTTTTGTCAGGGCATTTCTCAACTCTCTTGCTTTTAGCTCCTTGTGAATTGTATCGGCACAAATACTATTTGTTTATTATCAGATTTTTTTGGGACATTCTTATAAGTTAGAAGGAAGTCCAAGCTTACACATGCTTTGATCTGCAAGTATATTATTAAATTCTGGAAATATTTTATAGACAAACAGAAAATATAACATCTATTTTATCAATATATTTAATAATTGAATACTTAGTTCAGTGCTTCCTAGTAGTCAATTGCCTACTTTTGCCAGAAGAAGCAATTGATTTGTTAAAGTAGCTTGGAGTTCTTTGTCGTTAGTTGACTTTGTCAGTTTTGAACTCCAATTTCTTCTGATACAAATAAAAAATTCTAGCAAAGGAATAGGATGGAATGTGAAAATATCACCTTTGTTTGGGTAAAACTGACCTTTCAGCTGAGGTTCATCCCAAATTTTGTCATGGAATCACACTGTGGTGAAATTTTGGCTTCCATGTCTGGTAAGTGTAAGTTACATAGATGAACTAATTGTAAATACAATCTTAGTCTGTTGATAAATTTTCTGGTTCTGCTTTTTTCTGACCCTCCTTGTTTTAGATATTCATGCTTATTGTTTCTAAGCATTCCACCATTTATGAACCACAGCCTTTCTTTTGACTTCCAAAAATTTGTTCATTTGGTTTATGTTCAGGAGCAGAGATGGACTTGTCATTTTTTTTTGCTAACAGCTTTTTCTCATCATGTCATTTTTTCTATTACATTATGATTTATTTTGTGCTGAGTGAAATTTTCATTTGTTATAGCTGATCACCTAAACTGCCTTGTGATGGGTTAGTTCTCCATGACACTGGTTATCTATGTTTGTAGTATTTTGGTCAATTAACTTGTTTCCAAGCAAAGTCCAATTATATCAAATTCTTTGAAGTACAATTAAGAAAAACTTGTAGCCTATCATATTTATTTTATTTTTAGATAATTTTTACAACATGTATCATCTCTGTGTTCCTTAGAGACAATGCCATATTATAAATATTGATCATATAATTGTCAGTAATCTTCAATTTTAGATACTGTAAAAATATCAATTTGCAAGCATCTAATAGTCAACATTTTAGTGCTCTTATAATGCTGTTGTAATTTATTAATTTATATTGCATAATGCATAATTAGTGAAATTATTGATCCAATTTTTCATATATGTTTGTAGGTCATAGCAGACAAAGGACTTGAGTTGCTATCAGCAACTTTTATATTCAGCCTCTTTGTAAGTTCATTTTCATAGGAATGTTTGTTGTACTTTAGAACTTATTGGTTTGGGTACTTGACATTGACACTCTGATGATCATTAATTGTCAGTATTTGCACAACTCTCATCAATTTTCTGTCATGTCTTTCTTTCTAGCATATGTATTATTCTTATGCATTTATTAGTTATACTGAAAACTAAGCTTGTATATTGATTCTTACATTACTGGGGGTGCAACACATACATGTGTGGTTTCATCTTTCTCAATATCAGATTCCTTCATATGCAAGTATGTAAACAGCAGTCAGGATTTGTTTGGATGGTGGTTGTCTAACTCTAACCACCTCTAGGCAGATCTGTTCTTGTATGCAAGGTGATATGTTTTTGTGGCAGGATCATATATTCTGGCAGATGTGTCATCACACGTTTGTTGGTTTCCTTTGGTTTTTCGACAGTCTTTTTGTTAGGAGTAAATTCAATGGTCGGGGTGCATATTGTAGAAAGATTGTTATGCTTTTATATCCAAGCGTGTAATATGAGTTTGATGCTTGTTTCTGTTGTAGCAAGTCTAAAGTTCTTTCTAGACATTTGTGAAACTCAAATTCAGTTTCTTTAAAAAGTTTGTGGACAAACTAGGTGCATTATTCTATAAATTATCTCTTTTGTTGCTAAAATATTCTTTATTTATATTTAATTCGAGAGACTTTTTGATTCATCTAACATATATTGGAGTCTGTATCTTCTGAATGATGCTTGGTGGTGCTGCTTTAGGTTGTACAACCATTTGTATCAATTCAGTTCACATGCAATCCATTTAGCTTATGGGCAAGTTCAGTTCACTCCACTAGGAAGAGTAGACTATTATAAGCTTGAAGTAGATTCATATCTTTAGATAGTTTTGATGCTTGTTAATCTCATAGCAGGAGGCTATGAAGCATATTTCCTAGGCACTTAAGATCTTCCATCTTTCCGAACTGGTATGTAAATTATGGCACAGAAAATGAATACATATTAGGAATACCTAACAATCTTACTGCCATTGTTTAGGTTACAATTTAAGGAACATTCAGAATGCAGAAAAGACATACTTCTGTGCGATTCTATGGAGTTCTTTTCCTATTATTGTATTTATCTGGAGAAAGCCCAACAAGGATCCAATTTCTTTAACTCAAACTGTAGAAAGCTGAAAATGATATCATTATTGATGTGCAAGACATCATTTTCAAAACTGAAAGCAAAAGATGATTGCTCATTGTTATATGCATCTTTATTCAAATTGTATATGGTTCTTATTATCCATGCACCTGCTTATAATGTCTGTTTTTTATCTTCTTTTCAGGTTTCCTTGGTACTATATGCTGCTGGCCTTAAGTCACGTAGCCAGAGCTCTTCTTTAAAACCTCACGTCACAGGAGACTTTATTCATGACTGGTTCCGTAACACCATTTCTCATGTGTTATCTAGTCATTTCACTATTTACTCGTGTCTATTTTTGCTCTGAAAAACTAATATATTCATTGAATTTTACAAATTGTTCCTCGGTCAATTTTGCTTTGAAGAGAGTGGCACTCTTATGCAATTGAGCTTTTTTTATTTTCTTTTATATAGATATCAGGCTATGTTTGATGCACATAGACAGGACAATAACTACATGCTGTTTTTAGATATCTCAACTAAAAATTAGTAAGAACAAAAGCTTGGCTGAAAGCTTGCAGAAACTTAGATAATTACAGGAGCTACTAAGGTCACATACTACTGTGATCTGGACATTTTGTGTACTCAGAACGGACACCTTTGAACAGACCAATATATATTGCACACCTTGTAACAACATGTCCATTATGACACCAGTTTTACCAAGGAAGATGAAAGCCTTACTTGGAAGGTTTTCACATGGTAGTGCTGTGTCATTTAATTGCTATCATCTATGTGAGCTATAATTAATCACTTAGGAAAAAAATGTAGTTTAAAGGACATATGGGAAGTTATTGCTTCTCATTCCTTTTGGTGCTTGTGCTCACCTTTTTTCCCTGGAGATGCATAACTAGTTCCTTTAAACTTAAGATTGAATTAGCCTGTGTCGCACATTATTCTTACCCTTAACCTTTCCCAAGTGCATATCCCTGTGCCTGATAAGGTTATAAGCTTTCAGAAGTTAAATATTTTGAGGACATTGGCTGATACATTGTTCTTCATGACACTGTACATTACTGTTATTACTTCTCTTACTTGATCTGCAGAAATAGTGTTGTTTCACAATGCCTTTTCTGATTATTGATGCCTTTGATGTTCATGGTTCCTAACAGGTGGTTTGGAGTACAACTTAATCCTCATTTCTTGGGAATTGACCTCAAGTATGCATTTTTGTTCGTTGTTTTACTGGACTCTTTTTCCCAATTATTAAATAGATTATTATAACCATTTTATCAAGTTATATGATGATTACTATTATCTGCAGTTTCTCTGTGTCCATTTCTTATGAATTGCAATAAGAATCTTGTTTATTGGGTTGCATGTGATGGTTCATTAATGGTGGGATTCAAACACTTCAAGTAAGAACACTTAGGAGCTTATCATAGACCTATAGTGGTTAAAGGTGTTCACTAATTGACAAATACCATCAGATCTACACCTGTGAGTGCAAGTTTTAATGTTAAGTGCACATTGTTAGATATTCTTGCAGATGCATACCACCTTGGTTCCTGTTGAGTTGTGTGATCCATCCCACTGCATGATTAAAAATTGGTGCCAGGCCACCTAGACAAGCTAGGCAGAGATATTCATATTCTTTGTCTTGGTCAATGCAGACAAAAGATACTATGCTTCAATTGTCGTTGGTTCAAATAAATAAGATCAGAAATTACAAATAATATGACTTGTTTTTATCTTATCCTACCAGCCATCAGATAATTGATCTGAATAAAGACAAAGCCCGCACTTATTTCTCCTTATCTCAACATAATTAGTTATAAAACCAGACTGCCACCATGCCACCAATTGCACATGACCTAAAATAAGCTTGTCACAGGCCTATTTTGGTCTCATCGCATGATTCAAGTTTTAACCAAATAAAAAGAAGAATAAGTTGGGTTGGGTTTATTGCTTAGTTAAGACTTGAACATGTCTATAGCCATTTGCGAATATGTGACAATGTTGAAGTCCCATTTTGATCCATGTAAATGCTGTTGTTTCTTTTGAGAACTTCTCTTTTTCTGTTATTGAAGCCTTCAAGCTTTTAAAGCCAAAACAAAAATATTTTCCTACTTATTGACACTCTAATATTGCAATGAATTGGCTAATGCGGTTTTTTAAGATGGAAAAATAGTAACTAATGGCATGGTTCTATCTTTAACAAATTTATCCTCATTCCATTTTGCAGATTCTTCTTTGTTAGAGCTGGAATGATGGGTTGGTTGCTAATCAATCTCTCTCTGTTGGCAAAGAACTATGAAGCTGGCACTGCAAACCTTTCAGTTATTCTTTACCAGCTATTTTGCACGGTACTATGAAATAAAATTTTCTATGTTGGAGTTTGCATCATCTATAATTGCTAATTTATGTTCTTTTCTCTTTTGTAGTTATATGTTTTAGATTATTTCTTCTATGAGGAATTCATGACCTCCACGTAAGTCTTTATTATCCCAGAAAAACGTGGTTAATTTTGTGTGTTTAAGTTTGCTAATAATTCCTGTTCTCTTTTTTCCTGCACATGCAGTGCATCCCGCCACCACCTATGAGTTTGATCTTTTGAATGTCAAATAGACTGGATTACCACTGGATAGCCTAATGTTTTTTGGGATGAGAATATGCTCCTTTTTATTTGTGATGATTTCAAGAAAGAAATTAATTGATTTATTAATTTAAAATGACCACTTTCTATTTAGCACAGCTGGTGAAAAGTTTAAAATAATGCAACATGTTTGTGCTTGTTAATCTTTAAATTCCATGCTGTAGGCTAAGTTTTTCTCATTCTCATGAAGATTGCAAAGGATAGGGATGTGTGGCCCCATATTGGATTCTAATTTGATGATTTGGAGTGCTCACTATTCACTAATGTTCTGAAACCTTGTCATATTTGGCTTTCATTCTTTCAGATGATAATTGTCTTCTTGGCTTCTTCATAATGATATTTGAATCATTGTATCAAATTTCTTATTTTTGTTCTATTTTTCACTTTATAGGTGGGATATTATAGCTGAAAAGTTGGGCTTTATGCTGGTATTTGGAGATCTAGTCTTCATTCCTTTCACTTTCAGTATCCAGGCATGTTAGATCTCAGCTCTGTTATAATTTTTTATCCACCAAGGTTGAGTAGGAAAGAAATCATCAGCTGCACTTAAATTTTGGAGCGGGATCAAACCAGAATGGCAGAATTGGTCTGCTCAGATAATCAGATTCGAGTAATTCGTAAAGGGCTTGGTATAAATTAAAATTTGAATTAATTAGGAATAGACACCAAAATCAGCTGCATCACATATGGCTTATCCTAGACTTTGATGATTTAATAAAACTAAGCTGCTTGATCAGTCTTTTCTAATAATTTACCTTGTGATGCTATTGCCCCTTAAAAATGCTGATGAAAGACTCTGTTCTAATAGTCTCACCAGTGAATGAATCGAGTTTACTTGTACATTAATATACATGCAATTCTCTGATAGTGCCTTTGTTCATCGAACCTTTTCAGGGATGGTGGCTTTTGAAAAACAAAGTTGAGCTAACGAAAGTTGCTGCTGTTGCCAATTGCTTGGTTTTCCTTGTTGGGTATGACATTTTTGTTTGTGTAATTTTAAACAATTTTCAGTAAAATCATACCTTAGATATGCTGCCTATAAGATCTGAATGATCCTCAAGTTTGTTGAAACATCCTGCTGAATTCTGCAGTTATCGAGTATTTAGAGGAGCTAACAAGCAAAAGCATATATTTAAGAAGGATCCTAAAGCTCCCATATGGGGTAAAGCTCCAAAAGTTATTGGAGGAAAGCTGCTTGCCTCTGGTTACTGGTAATGTTGCTGAACTTGTATCACACTGAATTTGTTATTAGTACCTGTGGACCTATTTTCTTTTATATTAGCTATATATGTTTTAATTCATTTGAATTTTTAAACCAGTAAATGAAACAAGTGTAGCATTTTGGTACATTACATACTATCTCTCAAATAACTTCCTATGGAACTCCACTATGAGATTAATATTTCTCGGGGTGCCATCTAAGGAATTCAGAAATTTTGCGGAGGAGTTTCATTTTGAAGTTGTAAACTAAAAAACAATTTCCACTGGTGTTTTCAAAATTTTGAGGTATCTTATTGAGATCAACTAAGATCTGGAAAAGTACGTCAGTGGATTTATGTTCTTGGCATCAGACTGCTAAGCTAGTTCATTGCATAAATAATGTGGTCAGTTACTTTATTCTACTACTGGTCTGTTTGTAAAGAAAATTAGTTAGTTTACTGCAACAGGTATGCATTTAGTTGCATGATCAAAAGCAGAATCCAGTTTCCATAATTTCTTTACTCACCAAAATTAACAACAACAGGCCTTTGTTGGATTTGGATACCCTAATTGTTCATAAGAAGTGCATCAATGATGTTCCTTTTTACTTAGTGAGCATATTTGCATTCCTTGTATTCAACTATCACGCATGGTGATCTTAGTCTTTTAGGGGCACTGATTGTACTAGATCCTTTATCTTGCTTCCCCATCTAAAATGACCCTGTGAAAGTTCCTGTTTATAGAACTCATATGTGAATCATCTCCATTGTTTCAGGGGTATTGCAAGACACTGCAATTACCTTGGTGACTTACTGCTAGCACTTTCATTCAGCTTGCCGTGCGGAATAAGGTGATGCCTATTCACCATCTGTTTATTATTAATTAGTGGGTGTAAACACTGATGTTTGATCTCTCACCCTCTTTGCAGCTCTGCCATTCCATACTTTTATCCTACATACCTCCTTATTCTACTTATTTGGAGGGAGAGACGAGATGAAGCAAGGTGTTCGCAGAAGTACAAGGAAATCTGGGCAGAATACTGCCAGCTAGTTCCATGGAGGATACTGCCATATGTGTACTAAAATCACTAAAGTGAGCTCGATAGAGGCAACTCATTTGTTATTTCCCCATAATAGTGGTCATGGAATGGGTGCCTCATCTCCAAATTCTGTGCCTTGACCGAATCATGTTACTCACCAACTGTTTGCAAACAGGTCTTCATGCAAAGTGTCCTTGTATGTAAGCTCGTGATGCTCGACATTATTGTTTGCAGAACTCATGTTAATTAGGTAGATCATCTTGTAACGGAAATATTGCTGACTGTTTAATCACTAGCTAATTTGAACTTGGAGTTGTGCCGAAGAGATCCCATTTCCACTCAGTAGTAGAGTAGCTTAGTGTAGTTCTGCATTTGATTTATTGTAGCAATATTTCTTAATATGTTGAACTGTCGAACCTGTTATATTCTTGTGATCTTAGTTGAAGTTGCATCAGCCTGCTTATGTTTCATTTCACTGGTAGTTGGGCCAAACCCAGGTAACAAAAACCTGTCTCTTTCTCCTCTTGTGGGTTAATCTCCTTTTTGTTTTCACATGAAAAAAGAGCTGGATGCCACATTATTGCTACTGATCTAGTGAGCATGTGCAGTCCAAGATGTTCGAATCTCAGCACACAAACAAACAAGGGGGAAGTGACACTGACGGTGACAACTCGATGGTCCGCTGCTGTTGCCACTGGGAAGATGCTTGCCGGGGACAGTAGTGAATGACGGCTCCTCCATCGATCTACAGGAGTACAAATCAATAACCAGGTAACAACTGATGCTATTATGATCTGTTTCCTGTGTTGCGTTAGTATGAACTGGTCCATTCTGGGTCTGCCATCCAACCTAATGGTTCTCAATATGATTGGCATTAGGTATCACTGAAAAAGAAGAGGGACAAAGAAGTTGCTGTTTGTTTGTGTTAGAACAAGCTTGTTTAATATGGTGGAAAAAGAGCCAAACTAAGAAAGAGACGGAGAAATTTGGTTTAGGTTTCACAGGGTATAATTGATCTGAATCTAATCCATACGCAAATTGGTGGGGGAAATGGGTATAGATTTGGGCATAGGAGTGGTTGATTACACCATCACTGTTCTCCTTTGCCGGAAGAACATATTTGAGTCTCCAAAGGGTTGAAGTTGCATCTCATGATTCCAGTAGATGATGAAGGTCTGCATGTTTCCATGGAGGAGAAACAACTGTGAAGTATGCATTGCATTACAGAGAAAACCACATCACAAGTATGTATTCATCTGCATTCAACACTGAAGAAGCCATCATCTCAGTATTACCTACTGAGAAGTACCATACGCTCATTATCTTCCGTCACGAATTCACCATTGATGAAGGGAATATTTTGAAGCGACAGCATCTGAGTGCTACATGTCCTGATCACATTGTAGGCTGCGGTGATCTAATTTACTGATTGCAATGACTGTCAAATAGGCTTGTTCTATCCTATTGTACAAACAGCCAATGCAAGTAAGATTGATCATGAGACAAACTAGAATGACTTTGTCGATAACTCGAAGCCGTCCGAACTCATTCATCATACGTCAGGAAATAAAAAAAATTATTACTTGATAAATGATATAAAAGGTCATGTCATTATCGTAAAAGCTTTTTCAAATTTATTGAAGTTCAATGTGCACTACATTGTTAGTATGATTTGTCGCATCTTCCATCGTGTGATTGATCATTTTAGAAATCCCAGTCCGCAACATTAATAATTTAATTATGACGATTGTCAGGTATCAAGCCAAACAAGATGATTCCTTGAAGCATCATTTGATTGTGACTTTTTTTCACAATAAATTATTAATATTTTTATCTTTTATTCATCCCCTATGGATCAATTTAGTTTTCTCAAAAAAAATAATTCAATAATATCTTCCTTCGTATGATCGTTTTAGATATCCGAGTTCTCATCATTGACAAATTAAATTTATAAATGTTGTCATATATCAAATTATTCATCCCCTATGGATCAATTTAGTTTTCTCAAAAAAATAATTCAACAATATCTTCCTTCGCATGATTGTTTTAGAAATCCGAGTTCTGACAAATTAAATTTACAAAGATTGTCATATATCAAACTAACAAGATGATTCTTTGACTATGAAGCATCATTTGCTTATGACATCTTTTCATAATAAATTTTCAAGATTTTTATCTTTTATTCGTCCTCTTTGGATCAATTTAGTTATATCAAAAAATAATTCAGTGACATCTCCCCTCACGTGATCGTTTTAGAAATATGAGCTTTCATTATTGACAAATTAAATTTACAAAAATGATTACATGAAGCATCATTTACTTGTGACATCTTTTCACGATATATTATCATAATTTTTATCTTTTATTCATCTCTTATGGATCGATCTCGTTGTCTTAAAAAAATAAATCATTTAAGAAATTTAAAATTTTACAAAGGTTATCAAGTATCAAGCCAACAAATGATTCGAAACATCATTTGCATGTTTCATTTTCTCAAGATAAGATATTGAAATTTCACTTTTTATTGGTCGCATGTGGACAGATCTCGCTGTCTCAAAAAACAATTTAATAGTTTACTTACAAATAGCTTGTTGAACAAACCCTTTAATTTGCTTGTGTTTTGTATTCTTAGAGACTCACAAATCATGTGCCCACTGTGTTCCTATGAATTAAATACTTGTGGTCTAACACATTCATGTGCAACTACTGACCTAAGAACAAGCTCCGTATATTTCATGTTAATAATCTCTTACGAACCGAAGTCTAGTGAGCATTCATTCTTTATCGAGGCGCTTTCGTTCTCCCTAAGAGACAAAGGTGGTAAAGGTTCGCCAAAACCGAGAACCCATTCCACTGGCACAAAAAACAAGTGGCTGATGGCCTCGTTGAATAAAGCAGCAGCACCCACTCAGCTTTGGCTCTTATCACATAGATTCTCTCGTTCTCGGTGGGAGGACAAAGGCGAGGACAGAGATGGGTTCCCATGGCGCTGATGCCAAAGCCACTCCTGGAAACCAAGTGGGTCGTATGTCCTGCCTGCCGGCCTCTGCTGCACTTCATTTACATCTCTCTCTCTCTCTCTCTCTCTATCTCCCTCTGAAGCCATAAATGAACGACGCTGCAGTTGTTTGGTGTCAGTCGCCGATTAAGAACATAAATAAACAAATATCAGTTACATAATTCATCTACGACGAAACTGACTTGTGATCTCATGAAAATGTAACTCGTATTATGTTGGTTTTTTTCTTTATGATCTTTGATATTGATTAAAAAATATATTAAAACAATCATGCATTAAATGAAAAAAAGCTCGTGAGATATAATCAACTCGGGAAGAGACATTTATCGTCGATATCTCATCGACAGTATTATATACTTTTAAATTTTTAAATATTTATATGTGAGAGACAAAAAAATTCTCTGAGTTCAAATCATCTCAGAGAGAAACATTCACCATCGAGAGAGAGAGAGAGAGTTGAGTTGGATGAACGAAGGGGAAGGCGATGAGTACGACCACCTCCCAAGGCTGTGGATCGGAGGGGAGGCACAAAGCAGCACACAGCCTCTGCATGCGTCACGCGGCGCTCCAACTCGACGCATGCACGGCAACAACAGCAGAAGAGGCGTCACGGAGACGAACCTCCACCTGCACGTGAAGGAAACGAGAAGAGAAGACGGGGAACGCGCTTCCCTCGTTTCTTCTGACTCCGCAATATATTTATCTTTCACGAGTACTCATTCCCCCTCCCCCATTATTGACTCCGTTTGTTAGTCGCGGGTTAAGAGAGAAGAAGGCCTACTTAGATATTCTGATTTAGATGATAAAGATTTATAAGAACAATTTATCGAAAAAAAAATAAGTGCTAATTGATTTTTGGGAAATTATCCTGATTTTTTTTTTTCATGAATGAATAATTATACTTTTACTATGTGATTTTTTCATGAATAATCTGTTAAGAGAATTTTGAAGAAAAAAAAAAGAAACATTCCTCCTAAAAGACCATGCACTATATGTGCTCTTGCATAATTAGCTAATTGGTTAACTACCTAATTAATCTTTCTATAAATATGATCAATCGAAAAGATTTAAAAACCAAGAAATATCCATTTATCTAAATTGGTTTAATAAACTAGTTCAGAGAATTTTGAAAAAAAAGAAGAAATATTAATCTCCTTAAAGACCATACACTATATGTGCTCGTGCATAATTAGCTAACCGCTTAACTATATGATTATTTTTTTATAAATATGATAGATCAAAAAGACTTAAAAACTATCTATAAAGATATAATGATTAATATTAATAAATTATTTTTTGCTAACTAATTGATTTAGTTAGTAAATATTTTATCATATCATTACAAAGTTGTGAAATCAAAATTAAAATTTAAAACTTAAAAGGAATAAGGCTACAAATATTTGACCAAAATTTTGGTCTAAAAAATATTTTCTTTTATAAGAATAATACTATGAATGTTTGACTAAATTATTGTGTTCGAATCCTAGAGAACACATTCATCAATCTAGTGTTCTTCAGGACTTTCTCTCTGAAGCTATTTGTGTCGTCCCTTTATGTCATCTAAATTTGTTCGTCTTTTCAATTTAAACCAAATCAATATTTTTGTTATATTATATAAATGATCGAAATGATAAGAAGTAATTAAGATGGATGATTTTGAAGGGTGGAGGATTCTAAACATGATAGGTGGGCCACTAGCCCTTTGTGTCTCGATGGATAAGACAAAGCCCATTTGATTTATTGAACGTAATATTTTTCCATAAAATTGATCGGTATATGCATATAAAATATCTATCATCTTCAATCATCCATACCTTTTATCTTTTCGATCACTCGTTGTGAAGAAAAGTATTTTAAAATGGATGCACTTCTTGCCTTTTCTAATTATAATTAATTATATTAATTAATTATTTCACCAAATGAGTTCAAAAGAACACGTACATTATCAAGCAGCAAATTAATATACATTTGGCCATGTATAAAGAAAGTTTCGAAATAAAAAACATGTAGACTTGTTAAAGTAGTTCAACACATTATTCCAATAAAAACATTAGATTGCTAATAATGATGAATCAAAATCCCTTACGAAGAAGAAAGAGATAAGAATGCTTTTTAGAGAATATGACCATATATCATTTGCAAATCCAAACATAATTTGCTAGCCAATTTGATATCATAATAGGATTAAACTTTTACGTGACTATATGAATGTCCTTTTGGCCATTTTAAATTGCACGTCTCATGTTTATTCATTTCAGTTAATTTATCTCCTTAATTATAAAATTAATTAATTTTATTTTAATCAAATATTTTGATCGAACTTAATCATTATTATATTTTGATTGCTCGATTGGATTTAGATTCGATAAATTAAGTTTTGATCGAATTAAAAAAAAAGTTAAAATTTATCATTTTTTATTATAATCAACTTTAATTTCGTCAATGCTAATTAGGTGAAGGGTTGGCCCAAATCCATAAGCCTAATTTGGATAGTCTAATTCTATACTTGTCCAATTAAATAAGATTGACTAATATAAGGGTTCATGTAAAATTAAAAAATTATAAATTATGATTTTCTTTAAAAGTTTTCTCATATGACATATTGATAATATCTTAATCCACTTATATTTATATATTTATGATGGTTGTTAGGTATTAAGCCATCAAGATGATTCCTTGTCTAAAAAGTATTATTTGCTCGTGAATCTTTTCACAATAAATTATCAATATTTTTACATTTTATTCATCCCCTATGAACTGATTTAGTTGTCTCAAAAAATAATTCAACAACATCTCCCCTTTCATGATCATTTTAGAAATCTGAGCTCATCATTCATGAATTAAAATTTCAAAGGTTGTCGGGTATCAAGTCGACAAGATAATTCCTTGACTAGGAAGCATCATTTGCTTGTGATATATTTTCATAATAAATTATCAAGATTTTTGCCTTTTATTCATCTTGACCTAGTTGTATCAAAAAATAATTCAGTGACATCTCCCCTCGCGTGATCGTTTTAGAAATTTGATCTCTCATTATTGACAAGTTAAATTTATAAATATTGTTGAATATCAAGCCGACAATATGATTTCTTCACTAGGAAGCATCATTTGCTAGTGACATGTTTTCATGATAAATTATCAAGATTTTTGCCTTTTATTCATCCCCTGTGGACTGATCTAGTTGTCTAAAAAAATAATCTAGTGACATCTCCCCTCGCATAATCATTTTAGAAATTTGAGCTCTCATTATTGACAAATTAAATTTACAAAGGTTGTCGGGTATACCAGATGATTTCTTAACTATGAAGCATCATTTACTCATGACATCTTTCATCAGTGATTTAGGTTAGATGAAATGGATGGAGTAAGAGGATGTGGTGGCTACGCCTCACATAGAAGTTGCTACGATTAAGACTGGATTTGTGTGATGTTAATTTAGAAAATATTAATCTTCTTCTTTCCTAAATGGATCTCATGTTTCAATTATATGACCCTATCTAATTAGGTAA